TATTATAGAGAGAAACGTGTCAACAACGTGTGTATCAATAGATGCACACACGAAACTTGCAGAACAATGCATCTCATTTCAATGCACTGTCTGTAGTTCCGCTCTGATATACCGCAAAGAGGAGGTTCACGATCACGTAACACCTATTAAAGCTGTAATATATTAGAACATTTTAGTATAATTTCTGTTTCAAAACAACCGCCTAGTCTCTAGTACTCTCTTTTAACCATTGAACTATCAGAAAGATCGAAATATGTTTGATAAGATTTTAAAAGTTGAACCTCAAAAGGCACTTAACGATATTCGTCATTGGATCTTATAAGACACTATCAACAGTATCTCCTGGGTCGTGATCGCACTTGCAATACGAGTAACAACGAATGAGGTGTAAACAAAAACAATAAAACGAACATAAACATACAATCTTCGGTTTCTCTTTCAAGCAAACTTTCCATAGATTACAAACTAAATTACTTGCGTGTGGAAAGCACGGTGTACGCACCATGCTCATACAACTTCTGTTTAAAAGTTGTAGCTCTGTAATCACATAATTGTTGTAATTTTCTTCTATCAACTTGAAGACTGTTGTCTAATTCGATAAACTGTGGGACACGGATACCTGGCTGTCTCCTGCGTGTTGTGGGCCCACTAATGTCCTGCCTCGGCGACGTCGCGTAATGTGCTAATGATTGCGCGGCCACGCAAACTGACTGTTAGGCAGGCTGTCCATACATTTAGTGCACGATCTTATCATTAACTATTTGAGTTCGTTCAAAATTATCGTTTATGAAAATTGAAGGAAGTTTTTTACTATTTTACGGTTTAAAACGTATTGAGTTTGCAGGTTCTAAGCTTGTTCTTAGCTGTCGCAATCATTGTGACTGTTTTTTTTTTTCTGTATAAATTTTATCTTGTTTCGATCAATTGCGTCACCATCCTAATTTAGTGTTACATTTTGGCTAAACATTTAGAGTTATAATGTCTTGACAAAAAAATTAAATAACGAGATAAAAGCTTCAATTAAGTTTTATTTTCTAGTTTTGTAATATGACGACAGCTACTTAGAATGTTACTATGAGAACAGCAATAAAACGACAATGTCTCCTGATTTTAATTGTACATACATATGTCAGTGAGTGACTTCTGAGACATTCAAACTTAACAAAAGTCTATAAAAGATAATTGTATCAATTAAGACATTTACTTTTATTAGTAATTAACGTGGTACGTACATGACTCGTAAAATCGTGGATTGAAGTCATCTCGTTCGGCGTGAGAAACATCTTGGACTTTATATCCGGATTATAGCGAAAATATAGTAATTAAGAATGAATTAAAACTTCTTTCACCGTATCCGTAAAAAATCAGAATAGGTGCTTACTTAATGACTAATCTACATACTTTCAGAAGTGATTTTTTTTTACATTTTTTCATTAAAAATATTGATATTTTTTCTTCAATATAATGCTGATAGCCTTTCATTAATAGGATTCTTAATGTTTTTAGGTAAATGAATTAAAATTTCCTTTGTATTTTAGATATTCCTTTTATACTGGGGCTGTGAGATAGGTCCGCCATAAATTCTGCAGTTTCTATTCAAATAAGTGCCTCACATGGCGTTAAAATCGCATTCTTCAGTCATGTTATAGCAGTTTATGTGTGGTACGTCGCACCTCGCGCATCATTACAAGGTTACTGCGACCGTACTGTCAGCCGCATAAACATTGAGAGAGTTGGCTTTTATGATCACTGTGTCCATCGCATCAGAATCCCGGACCTCAGGGCAGGTTTAAACACATTGTAGGCTTCATCCCTGCTATGCTTAGATGAGGTTTTATAATTACATAAATTACTAATACTAGAATGTATGTCTTAACCAATCACGTGATCACAGGGTCCCGGTAATTTTGGAGGCGTACGAAGGGCCCGAGTCATCTCGCAAAGCTACTTTAGATAACCTTAATCTAAGTGAAATGGGACACAAACCGGCGACCAGCGCTGTATGCACTATGACAATACACCTAAGGACAGTCCCCAATCAGTGTAGGACTATTGCGGATAATGGAAACAAGGGCAAGGCTATGGGTTTGGGTTGCTTTGGACTAATATGATGGGAACCATGGAAGGACTGTGTCTTTTTTCTTGAAAATGTAATCTTACTATGACTTATAATATACAGTGTTGCAACTATTACAGCGAACCTTTTTAGTTTGAAACTGTTCTATAATATAAATTAAGTTATAATAACATAATGGTTCCCGGTATGTGGAACCTGTCTAAGTACGTGCCTACCTTTAACGTAAAAATCTTATAAACCCATAGAAGGCTAGAACAGTGTGTATAATAAATGTGCTTCCATTTGAGTGGCTCACGTGCTGCGGACCGATAGCGCGCGATATTTTATTTATTTGTTCCCTACATGGCGCGCAATCTTACGCTCAGCCTCCCCGAGCCGATTGATTGCAATCACCTTTTCTAATGCCACATTCACGTTATAGAAGAAACATTAACTTAAGATTACCGGCATTTTTGAGTTAAATCCAAAGGAAGCAATTTGGTATACAACGATGCCGTGGTGTCACAAAAGAAGAAATGTAGCAAGTAAAGCGATATTTGTTCTTTTTTAAAACTACTATTGTATTGATACATTTTCTTACGCTTCTTGAACTACTAAAGAAGAAAAATATTGGTAACAAATATATTAAAGAAAATGCGTGTAAAATTAAAAACAAAAAATATCCTCATATATGGGAAAAATGCTTAAATACTTGCTGAATCATTGTCGGTTATTGCATCGCATAGAAATTGTACAGCCGCTACTGTAAGCTTTAGCGAATACCGAATATTATTCATACTGCAAATGGATATGAATATTTCAATAACAATTTGAAATATTTACGATATCAATGCAACGTTGTGCCTGAACCATTGGTTCGCAGCTATATTACTCTGCGGCCCTGTCCCAACAACAACAGTTTGATCAATTCCATCATTTGCGCATTCATTTGTTATTTTGAGTAAACAGCTGTGTTTGACTGTCTGGCTTACATGGTATTTATTATAAGGCAATAATATACACCTGGAGTTGTACAACTTCTGATAAAATATTATGTAGGTAGATGCTAAGTTGAATTTACAAAAGAAACACTGGCTATAGTCAACACTTTTAGTCCCAGTACAAAGTATTGACTTCGATAACAATGTACGACATCTATCGACATTATTTTATTTAGTTTAAAGTACGTCATAGGTACGGGAGACAAGAGAAGTGAAACTATTAATGACTATTGACGTGTCTAGGTCACACAGCACGCGATTGAAGCCACGCATACACATTCTAAACACAAAACACTAAGTAATCTAAATATTTTATAGGTAACCTTTACAATATTGTTTTAAGTATAATTTTTCATTTGGATTCATTGCTCTTGTACTTCACGATGGAAAACACTTCTCTAACAAGTTGTTACGTTGTTGCTGGTTGGTAGAGACAGACACACAAGCATGTGCACTATTTAAGCGTGTTTTTTAACCATACAATTAAGACACTGCCAATGGACGGATTTTATTGAAATTTTCCTATTAATCATGATAAATGTAAAACTTGTGATTTTCAAAAATGCCATAGGGTGGCAAATGCACAGACGGGACACCTGATTGTGATCAATCGGCGCCGTCTCTCAAACCTCAAAAAACTAAAATAGAACAAGTGCGCAGCCAGCTTTTCCCCTGAAATGGGAAATGAGGCATGAGGGATAGGGCGATATCGAAATTGTAAATGTCAACAAAATGCAAGCGTTGTTTAACGCCTGTTTGTATGTACACGCACGAAAAAGTTTTTTTTTTAATATACAATTTTCAGAACTAAAGCACTTAATTATTTTTGTATTCCTAGCAGACTGTACTTCAGTCGAGCTCGAAGCTCGTGATCGTTGGATGTGTTCGTTTTTTACCAAACCGTCGGCCGGGCATTTTATGGGTTTCATATTTCACGTCCACGCGGCTAGGTGCAGTACTGCGCTAAAAACAGGTCGAATGGTACCGTATCATTTCATGCAGTTTTTATACGTAGGCAGCCACAATGAGGACATTAAACATTAATTATTATAGACAAACATTGTAGCAAAGGTTACGCGAGGACGAGAACAAACTCAAACGATATAACGAGCAGACGTTCGGTGTGCAAAAAAATTAAAATAGAATACGAATTTCCACGCCACTGCACTCATCGAATTAATACAAACAGCTAAATACGTATTTATTCAAACTCTGCCGTTAACCTTTGTGGCCTTACATAAAGCTGGAGTCAATGAGTCCTCAACTGCAACCATAAAAGCCAAGCAACCACTTTATTATGAAAACAAAATAAAGACATCGACCGACTTGAGAAATCACTTACAAAATCTTGTTTTACAACTTAGCCAGGCTGCCTGTTTACTAAATACTAACAAATATCGGAAAGGTACTCGTAGAAAGTCATATTCCGATATTATAAAGATGTTTGAACCGGAGTATCAGACTCTTACCACGACCTTGCTGCAGGCCGGCCTGCAACTCTGGCTGAACTTCAGCCCTACTGATTCCCATCAGTAACTTGGTCATAAAAATATACGTAATGTTCTTTGTCACCACCATTCGACCGTAAACAGCTTCAACTTGCTTTCTCTTACATATGTTCTCTACTCAATTTTGAATCTTATAAGGTCAATTTCCAAACCCCGTGTCATGAATGTTAATAGATAGAACAATAGTGCACGCGCACCATTTCTCCTCAACAATACCGTGTGCCACAAAAACTGAGCGATCTGGAAATATGTTCGAAACAACATTTTCATGTCTTTATTCTGTCGATCTTTTAATATACTAACATGTTCACATGTTATATTCTCGTATCTATATGTATGTTCGAGCTTTTTGTCAAGCTGTATTTATTATTGTCACTCCCGTAATATTTTCCAGTTCGTAGTCATTAGTGCCTAAGTTTTATTTTATTTTTACAGTGCGGTTCGTGATTTTGGCGGATGCGCGTCAATAGTAACTGTGGAAGCTCGCGAAGGCACATGGGGCGCAGTCCCGCGTGGATCCGGTATGCTGATAGAATGGCCAGGCGAGAATGTCGGCCTGAAGACTGGAGACAGGTAAGTTCCAAACTATTTTTCTACACGCTTACTTATATAAGTGTTTACTGAATTACAGTGCTGCTGTAGATACAAGCATTAACTATTTATGAGCAAATATTTGTATAGATAAATCATGTCTGCACAAAACCATTGAACTGCAAGAATCTGCCAGAACGTCTATTCAGAAAGCACCAAAACTCACATAAAACTTTACGACACCATCTTTGCACTCAACACGTTATAGTGCGCAATAACTACGCAAATGCGCATGCGCACAGCACATCTGCGTTCAAACGCAGAGGAGCGCGGGTCAGCGGCCCACAATCACGAGCATCGCGATGCTATCTGTGCCCATAGATGGGCAACGATGGGCCTCGGACTGTGGGCAAACACTATCCAAGTAATTTACATTAGTCCATGGAATTTCTTGGCATTTGTGACGGCCACACACCACGCCAAATAACTTCTCGTCTTACCAGATATGCAATCTTTCCTCTTACTTTATATTTTTACTAGCTTTTGCCCGCGACTTTGTTCGCGTGGAATAGTGACTTCCTGCAGATTTTTGGTTTAAAAACTATCCTATGTCCTTTCTCGAGTTTTAAACTATGTCTGTACCTACCAAATTTCACACAAATAGGTCGAGTAGTTTAGGCGTGAAGAAAAGACAGACACAGTTACTTTCACAGTTATAATATTATTTGGGATTTTGTTACAGTACCTATGTAAATTCCGTAGAATATATATGTAATTACATTTCTAGTTAATACATTTATTTCTGGTTAGACAACTGATTTCACTAACGACATTTTTACTAAAGTCATGAATTTTATTAAACCTAATTACCAGCGTAAGGATCGTGCGATCGTAAGTTTTAGTAAATACTACAAAATTACTGCAGATCAGGTAGTCTTTAACTACCGGATACCACTGGCACGAATCTCAAACTACAATAAACAATGCAACATAGATAGTTTTCCGTCCCAGAGCAGGAGAAGTCATTTGATGATTATCCAATCACAAAAAAACATAGATAGTTAACTACCTAATATTATAAAAAACTGTCTGAAGTCACAGTGCAAATTCAGCATAGTTATGGTGCGCCCGCGCCGCCGCAGGCGACGTTGGCCCATCAATACACGTCCGATTAGAATGCTCATAGATACGTGCGCACTGGGCATGCCGCCTTGGCGAATGTATAAACTGTTTTATCACTTCATATAATATTTAATATTATATTACCTACCTACTTATTTAAGTTTACCTTTGTATATACCTATATATATTTTTTGTTGAAAGTCAAAATCGCACACAAATTATGTTGATTATGATGAACTAGATTTGCAGGTAGGTAAGGTAGGTAACTGTCGCAGGTGAGTTCGTTCATTCGAGTACCCAGTGACCCTCTAATTTTTTTCTGGGATTGAGTGTGTGGTTTCAGTCGGTAAGAGTCCGACATAACCAGGTGTCTGACGCTCTTGTCTAGACAAAGGGTATGCATGAGGATTTCCACAGGTTAAAAAGGTAGCTAACTGTCGTTAGTGAATAAATAGTGAAAATGAAATATTCAGGCTGCCTGGTGTAGAGATAAGGCCGCCTTTGTACCCAGTACTATTCTGTAATTTTGTATACCTAATATATGCATATCAGCCCTTTTGGTGTACAATAAGGTTGATTATTTATTTATTCAAGACTCAGCCCTTAGTTACAGATCTAGTTTTAGTTCTCAGCCAGCTAACGTGACTTTCAATCCTGGAAATCCCTCGAAACATATCCCGGGGCAGTAATAATAAATATTAATAGTATATGCGAATTGCTCTGACGTGACATATAAGGACTCGAACGATTAATTCTGCACGATTTATCGATACTAACGACCACTCTAGCGCATTTGTCAATCGAACATAATTCTCGAACATGCTTTAATAGATCTTATTCATGTTTCCCTTGTACGTTCTACTGTTTCAATGTTTTTATCATACAAATATTAAGTCGTAACAAGTATCTTCAGCAAATGAAATGTGAGATAGTTGCTTCTCAACCTATCTGGAAACAGAAAGACCCCTAAGTTGCTTTATAATTGGTGCCAGAGATTTAAGTTTTGCTCTCCTAAAACTATGCGTATATTTTGGCACCCTTATCATGCTTATTTATTTAAGTGAAAATATGTTTTAGAGACCCTTCTGTTAGCGCATAATTATATGAATGCAAAATTGTCGTTATTTTTAGGTAAATTTAGTATGTCTGACGATAGGTACTATTCAAAATTATATTGATGCATGCATATACTCCGGTCTTTACTAATTAATTATGAATCTGCATTAAATCAGTAGCAGTACTTGCTACTGATTACGATTTACCGTCACTGCAAAGATTATTACCATGGAAATGTTTATACCTAGTAATTACATATTTAGGTAACTCTGTATTTTAACTATGGTATGATTATATTTAGACCCAGGCTCACCAAAGCTCAGCCGGGGTTGCAGGCCTACTCGTACCGCGATAAGGTACCACGGTCTCGGCCTAAAGCAGGAAAAGGAACGAGGGGGTTTTAGTCAGTAAGTGTTTGACACTCCCTCTCGCCTTACCATGGGCGAGAGAAGTCATTGGAGAGGGGAGGGTAGGACAAAAGGAAGTGTCAGATTCTTACTTAGTCCCATCGGGCCTAAAGGTGCATCTGTGGTGGTGTAATGGCTCTTAGAAGCGCGAGCGCTTTGCTTCTGGTCGGGCAGCGAGCTACCCAAGCTAGCCTTCCAGATTCTTGTCTCAACTAAGGCTAGACGAAAAGGTCACAGGAACCAATCTCGAATATCAATAGCGTCCTATATGATTGTAGATGACAAAGAAAAAAAAATGTACAAACATTTTACCGATTAAGTAAAGATCAAGTTCTACCGAATAAAGAGCTTACATAAACATTTTGCTCAACAGGCTGTTGGAAGTAAACGGCACATCGGTTATAGCGTGCCGCAATCAGGAGGAACTGCAGCGCGCCACTAGTGCTGCCAACCCTGCGCGACTTGTACTCCTGCGCAACACTGCCACAGCGCAGGCGCCACAGCCAGCTAATGGCTTTACACAAGTAAATATTCTAAACTTTAAATCCTTATGTTTAAGTCTTGTATGCATCTTTAAGTTGAACAAGTTACGTTGTTATGACCTTGAGTGCAGGGGAGCTTCAGCTCAACCGGAGTGATACCATGTCTTTAGCCAAAACTATTCATTCAAGCGCCATTGTCGATTAAAACGTTTTCTCGAACCAATCTTTTTACCCTTATTCTATTATTAAGGAGCTCTACAGCGCTTTTATGTTGTGAGAAATTTATTTCTATTTATTTTTTTTTAGAATGAAGCTGCATCATTACGAGCTGAGTTGGGCGCCCTGAGGTCAGCAGCCGACGACGCTGAAAAGGCGAAGGAAGGCCTGCGCGCTGACAACACGAGGCTCACGCACCGCATCTCCTACCTCGAAGAACAGGTCGCTGAGCTTCTCAGCAGACATACACAGGTAATTATTTTAATTTCGTGACTAAACCTTTGTATCTACACTCTTGTTGAAATTCAGTCTTTCACTTAATACGAAACCCTCCTCCCATTTAGATATTTTAACAATATTTTCTGTTTCAGCTACATTCAACAAGCAGTAATGACAGCTGCATCACAGTGAACAAGACGAAGAAGAATGTCACTAATATAAACATTACGACAGATCCTCATCCGAAGCCAAGTCCCAAGTCTGAAGTACAGGTGTTCCAGAAAGGTCCCGACATTACTGCCATTGTAGCCAAACTACCAGGCCTTGACGGTGCCGAAAGTAACCTGCCCATGATAAGACCGAGGTCTAATGCTTCAGGAGCATCTTCCCGCGCCGCTATATCTCCCCGAGCAACTCCGCCCCTGAACCACAGGTCGCACAGCTCTCACAGTCTCGAACATAAAGCCGAACGAATGCGTCACTCTCTTTCCCACCATTGCATACATGGTGCGGTCGACTACAGTGCTGAAACCGATGCAGCGATCCGCATGATTGAGAGGAACCAGAGGCACATAGAGAAACAACGAATGAAGAATGAGAGACTGAGCAGGTCCAAGTGCGAGGACTACTTCAGATCAGATAGCGACCTGGACATACGGGACTCACACTCCAGTGCCAGCGTCGACCCCAGACATTACGAGATAAAGAAGGCAGCAGACAGAATAGAAGAAAGTATCAAAAAGACTAACTGGGCCGAGAGAAAAACTCTCTCAATTATTGAGCAACTGAAGCGATCACAACGGCTTCGGAAAATGAAGAAGAACGACAGCTCCGAAGACATTCAGCTGGAATCTGAAAGACACTATATGTACCACAGAATAGACGGCAAGGTATTAGAAAACGCTCACAAATCTAGCAGACGAACTTCCAAACTACACTCGCGAAGTGCCAAATCTTCAGAATTTGAATCCGAGTCTGACTTTCCTAACGGTGACATGTACAGCAGCTCGCCGCGGATAGACTACGGCTCCGAGACGTGCTCCAGGATGAGCCATTACAAAAAGAATGATGACAGAAAAGACAGTGATGTGAAGTCGCGACCGACTCCGCCGCGGAAACCACTCCGGCTATCTCTTCACAAAGCGAGAAGTGCCCACTCTTTAATAAACGGCAGTGAGTCTGAGACTCCTAGTAGACCGGCCTCAGAAGCAAAGCATACAGACACCGAGTGCAATAAGAGGCCAGTGAAGAGAACACACGCGGCTGACAAGTGGGCGCGGGAGAGGATCCGCGACGCCGGCCGGGCAACGCCCAGACCCACGAGGAAACACCTCAATGGGCTGAGCGCGTGCGAGGCGCCTGCCGCCGACGACCTCTACCCAGAGAACACACACATGCCTGTCAGAATTAATGGAATGGGGGCCAAGTGGTGTTAGTGGCTTCCTTAGGAGAAACACATTGTAATAAATTGCATAACGAGGCTGAAACAAAACTAGTTTATTATAATCCAGTAAGATTGTGTTTAGTTGTTAATTCAAATGTTATAGAAATTGCTAGTACCTAATTATTCCTGCAAATAAATATACACAATGTTGCCACAAACAAAAACAATTTATTACAATTTAATAAAACCGATAACAGTGTACAGAAGACTATGGAGTAATGTAAATACACGTATGTAAGCACCCACCGCGCAATACTCACCTAATGTAACGTATTTATTTAAGATACTTTAAGATTTGTATAAATGACAATAAACATAATTATTCCTTGATAATATGAATTTATTTGTAAAACCTTATCTTCACATAATCACATGGATTCCCAAAATTATATTTAATACATATTAAACTGTATGTATGAAAATGACAAGCGATGTTTATAATTATTTTTTACAATAAATGTATTCTTCACTAGATTTGATGAAACGCGATCCGTCAATAAAATGTTTTAGGTGCAACATGATTGATAGAAATAAAACAATACTCGTCATAATAAAATCATTTTAATTTTAATACTAGCAACAAAAACAAATGACATATTATGTACACCAAATTAATATCGTATAAACATTTATCATAACTACCCAACAACTAGAGACATCATCTACTGTTAACGTGATATTGTTTTACAAGAGGTGACATAGGAGCTAAGTGCAGTCGTAACCTCCGTAATGACAATATTGCTATAACATACTGAGATTATAATCAAACAATATCGCTGACTAACAGTAGAGTATGGCCCCAGCTGAAGTCGATATAAATACTCAACTTTGGTTGAGTATGACGCTTGTTGCGACTGAAAATATAGGCATTTTGTATTATTAAAAATATACACATGGGTTTCATAGACCCGCCAATAACACTATTATACAAAGCAAAACTATATCCGAATGCCAGTAGAATGACTTGACAGACAAACACATGAATCAGCTAAAACATTCCTTATACAATGTATGAAACAGAACATAACAAGCACCTTATAATGTACATGAAAGCTAACGTTATTAGATCTGTAATGCAGTCTGCTCGAGACTGGAGACCAAACGTGAACGTCCATTACAATATATGTATAGCGAATAATGAACCATCGTTAGTCGCACACAGGCAACATTCCTATACTTTATTTCAACTTTATAATAATATACACAATTCATTTTGCTTTAATATCGTATATGATATTTATAAATCAACGCTCTATGACTATTATAACTTCTCGCAACGCGGATTTATTGACGATACAGTAAGCTTGAAACCCAAATAACGCATTTACAGAATCCTAATAAAGTACATTATTAGTGTATGTAACTGACAGCGTATAACACGGAGCGATATATCCGACCAAAGTTAAAGTATTTACTATGACACAACATTATGCGCTGCCTCCTCAACTGGCAACACGAATAGGTCCTACATTGACTAGATCCCATGGTAAGCCTGCAAACTGACTGTGTTGTTCATTAAATATTTTGACAACTCATTACAAAAACAAAATAGTCTATAGATTACGATACGTTGTTTTGTTTATGAATGTTCAAAACAACAAATTCCTCAAGTATCAGTCCTAACCCATGACTGGGCCTTTTATCGCATACATTTAATAATCAACACAAAATAAATCTGACCTCGCAATATTGTTCCTACTACACCATTTGAACGGCAGCGCATCGACAGTCTTAATTAATCAACTAATCTACAATAACTGCAGTACTCGCCAAATATAGGCGTAGAAAATTGTTTATAAATTCTATATTTGTTGTGCACGGCTGAAACTAAGCATCGAAAGAACCAACCTAGTTAATATGCAGTATAAAAATAACATTCTTAAAGATGTAAGTACACTGGAATATGTCATAACTGCTCACTTAATATAGTCCCCGGCACTAACCATGATCACATTTATCGTGGTGGCGTATATTCTCATATTGTGTATTTTCTTATTATTCAATAATTACCCCTATAATTCTGTTTCGATTGAGGCTATTTGAAATAAAGCTTCCATCAGAAAGAAAAAAGGAATTGGTATTGGATGTAAAATTTTAAAATAATGAAAAAATATAGAATGCTCCAATTTACTCGCAAAACGAAAAATGTGGTCATGTTTCGCACCAGATTTTTAAATATCTTAATAATATCGTCTCAAGTCAAAAACGTATAAATTTTATGAACCTAGTAAAGTTTCGAGACTACGAAGTAACAAACAGCAACATTAATACAATACGACTTGTGGTCATCTCGACTGCCAGTTTCGGCCGCGAACAACAAAATGGCGGACCATTTGGAAAACCGAAGCGTCCGACATGCATCCAGATCTACGGTCATGGCCGAACTTAGCCTACATAAACAATATTTACAATTTAAATGTTACATTCTCAAAGAGATCTTAGATCATTTCTTAATATTTTATGGTGTTAAATACAATGTTATACAGTGACATTATTTTTCGTATAACTTCGATAATATTTGAGTTTTGCAGTCTGATACATCTAACAATATTTTGTTTATTTACGACCCTATAACAACGGCTTTAAATAAAATATTAGCAAGTTACAGTAATTACGGTACATGATTAAGTTTCATAGTGCAGGGCTGACCAGATTTGTATGAAAAGATTGGAAGAAAATCTTTAAGTAAACAGTGTTATACATATGTATCCCTATCTACACAGTCAATGGTATCTTCATTTCGATAGAACTAGTGTTTCCCATGCATCAGGTGTAAGCCAGTAGCCAATCATTAAAGTTAACCAACATAAATATCCTACATAGTATGTATTATGAAAGCTTTAAGATTTAATTAAAACAAACTATATTATGGAGCAGTTTAAAAAATACGTAAATCTGAATTATGTCTTATAGCATGAGTCCAAAAAAAAGGATTAAATAACTAAAGGCATTATAACAGGTTGACTTTGGCCAGATACAGTCTAATCTTAGTAACACCTCTACAGAGTTTGAATAAAACTTGAATATCAACCACTAAGTACTCTGGCGGTCATTTTAACATTTGTAAGCTTGATGTTAGGAGTTCTATAAACTCTAAAACACGGATAAAAAAGTTTCTCATAAAATAATGATATATATCGCAGCACCGCCAAACGGCGTGTTGGACATATAGTGGCAGCCAGCACTTAGAACTCGAAGCAGCGGCCCAGGTTGACGTACTTCTTGAGGGCGTAGGGTAGCGGCAGCTCCTTGACGCCGCGCTTCATCAGTATGGACAGACGCACGCGGCGCGCGTCCGCGCCCGCCCGCCGCGGCCGCATGTCGTCGTACTCGCTGCGGTCGTGGTCGTAGTCGTGGTCGTGGTCGGGCCCGTGCCGGTCGCAGCGCTCGCTCGCTCGCTCGCCGGCCTCCTCGCTCTCGTCGTGCTCGTCGTGCTCGTCTTGCTCGTCTTGTCCGCGCTCGGGAGCGCGGCGCTTGCAGCGGCTGTGGTCGCCCGACGTCGTGGACGAGCTGGCCGAGTACTCGGGCGACGTGGACGACTGCGCGCAGTGCCCGCGCTTCTGGATTCGGCGACGACCTGACGATGTCGCAACAATACACATATGAGCACTACCTAAGACAACATTACATTACATCGCGAATTTTACATGACAGTTCTCCAAGGGTAAATGTGTCGACCTTTTTTGTTGGTTAAATCGATCTATCTTTTTTGGTCAAAGAAAATATATATACAAGCATACACCTACCTCCGATAAGATTTTCGTCATACTCGAGTTCGAGCTCATCACATATGATTTCAGGCTGCACGGCGTCCCCGTCCGACTCGTCCATGGACTCAGACTTGGCAGGCGAAGAACTGCTAGACGTCGTGGTTCCCTCTCCGATGCCACTATCCAGCTTTTTCCTCTTCTGTTCTTGAGAAGTGTCCTCCTCACTAGAGGACTCCTGTTTCGGCTCCGAACTCTGTCGTTCCCATTGCACATAACGCGACGTGCTGGGAACTTCTTTTCCCAGATATATTTCTACCTCGGCTGGTACTTTAAGAGGATCTGATTTTGCACTATCCGAATCTGTCTTCGAGGAGTCGGAAGTGCTAGGCGAGTCTTGCCTAAAGGCATTAGTGACGGGGCGGCGCTCGTCCTGGAACTCGAAGGTGAGCAGACCGCGACACGAGCGCACCGGCTTGGGCTCGGGCAGGTACTCGGGCAAGATGGTGTCGTTGTACACGTCGGGGTTGGCGGCCACCGCGGCGCGCGCGGCCGCCCGCTCGGCGCGGATGTGGCGCTCGGCGCGCGCCGGCCGCTCCACGCGCAGTGAGCGCACGGGGCGCGGCGCGCGCGGCCGCGGCGGCCGGGCCGGCCCGTCACCGCCCTCGTCACCCTCACCGCCATCCCCGCCGCTACCACTACCACTACCACTACCGCTGCCCCCGCTGCCCCCGCCGCCCCCGTCTCCCCCACCTCCTCCGCCGCCTCCGCCGCCTCCGCCTCCATTCCCGCCTCCGTCACCACCATCGCCATTGTCATCACCTTCGCCTTCGTCTTCGGATTCAAAAGGCGAATCGAGAGAATCGAACCGCAAGGCGCCTGCGACACGATTCTGTCCCATACTAAGAACGAGGCTCAAGAGTGCATTCATTTCGTTGGCACCGCTCACATCGTCCAGGTCGTGCAACGCATTGAGGCCCTCTAAAAAAGTAACCAAACATAAAGTTTCACAAAAATCTTAGTAAGTATGGTACTGGAAAGTGTGCGAACAATAATCTGCTTGTATGGTGTAACGTGTATCAGAACGTACCGACGTCGCTGTCGTCCTCGATGGGGATGCAGATGCGGCGCGGACAGGAGCTGGCTGGCTGCGGGCGGCGCGGCGGGGGCTCGCGCAGGTGTGGGTGGCGCGCCAGCAGCGCCGCGCGCATGCCGCCGCGCACCACGGCGCGCGCCAGCACCTGCAGCCGCGCCGGGCACTGCTCGTCTGTCGGCAGGGCAATAGAACGTTCACAACCGCGCTCATAGTCTCCACTACGTCGACATTACTAAAGTGCTAATATCTTACCGGGCCTGATGAGCTCTAAAGCCTCCTCTTTGGTAGGTATCCTGAGAGTCGCGAAGGACACGTTAAGCAAGTTCCGGGATACCCATTGGTCCTCCGTGACGCGCTTCATCTGTACCAGGTTGTCGTTCGTGGGCATCACTAGTACTCCGCCCACCTTTACATAAATATCAGAAGAATCAATTTAAGTTCACAAGAAGAGTTAATTGTACAAGTTACTCACCGTTAACGGTTTTCAACTTATAGAGAGTAATGGAGAATATGAATAAGTCCTATGAATTAAAATGTTATTTAGGTGTAAAACATACCCGTCACTTATTCCACGAAAGATAACATGAATGAAATACCCTTACTAAAACCGTATTGTACTCAAGGAGACGTCCGTTGCTTGATAGCCTTCAGATCACTCACCAGCAGTAACCTTAACTAAACTGCAGAAAGAGCAGATTAATTCAAATCCAATAAAAGCTTATTCAATAACTTTCAATCGTAATAGAATGATTACTCGTACAGCTATTAAATATACTCTACGGATTACTGTGTAAATTATACATGACGAAAATTAATAAACGAATTAGTTATAGAAAATCTACTTGGTGCTATATATGACAGGGGTAATATATGGAATACCTTGATTAGTTGTTTGAAGTAGTTTTGATACTCCTCGGGGCACCCCGCCCCGCAATATAAACGATCGTAAGGCGCTTGGAGCGGGGCGATGCACAGTCCATTACCTGGACAAGGACACCACCATTACTTGATTATTCATCTTTTCACAGTAAAAATCATGATGTGCTATAGTGAGTAAAGTAAATTTGAAATGAAACAGACAAATATCTGTTCCACTGTACTTACCACAATAAAACCTAGGTTCACAAAAGTCAAACTCATCTAAAGTAGGTGAGTTCTCGATAAATTGTCCCAGTTTCTTGATGGCATACTCCATGACGTACGGATGAACTTCGATCCCATGGTTAACACCACTAGAGCCGATGAGCAGCCCCACAAGGGTGCTTAAGTAGCCAGTGCCGGAGCCAATGTTCAGGAACGAGAGCCCCGGCTTCAGCTCAAGTCCTTCTAACACCTCACTGGAAAGTTAAGGACATAGAAATACAATTACAGGTTCTCGCAAGATATCAAACTATCGCCATTAATGCATTATCGGCTTTTCAGTTTTCGACATTCATAATAATGAGTGTATGGCAAAAACTGTACTACTCATATTTTTAGCACGTGAAACTCACGTCTACCTCTATGAGTTACCTTTGCTTTACAGTCCAATTTACACCAACATAAAAACGGAAAGTAAAAAACAGAAAAATTCAAAGAATATATTAGTAAGTCAGGCAAAATTAATAACTGTAAGGTTAAAAGGCAGCCTGTTCTGCTTTGGTTAATGATGTTACAGGTACATGTTAAAAATGTAAAAAGAATCCCCAACCCCACAAACCCTAAGGACTGGTAAACTCACTTCTGACTTATGTTGTTTTCTGTGAAGCCTTGGTATCATTCTGATAGAGCCGACCCATTTGTGTTGAACCTTGGCTCTCCCATGCTTGTTAGTTGTGAAAAAGTCCCTTAGTTGCCTATTTTCATAATCATTATTACAATTAGGTGGATAAGCAGGAATCATTATTTATTACATAAGCATTTTAGTACAAATGATGATGATGATGATGAAGCATTTCAGTACAAACTTCTGATATATATTTTATGTGATGGGAGTGTTTGGCATGAATGCTCAGCTGAAGTGATACCAAGGCCTTACAGAAAACCTGGCGAGCAACACTTACGTTGTGTTTCGCCATGTTAGTGAGGTTACCGGCGGCTGTCAATGCACTTTTAGTAACTCTTTTGGTATTACAAGTGTCCATTGACGGCACTAATTGCTTACCATCAGGTAATCTGTCTACTTGTTTGCTGACTTCTGACATTAAAATATCCATTACAACTGAAATCACTCTCTTATCTAGCAGTTAGCCTATATTTCTGCTAAGTTTTTAATGCAGAACTGTTTATTTTTCAATTGAACATAAATAAAGAAAAGATAATTCATTAAGATTTCTATTTTTAGTTATATGATCATGGTGTGAGATCAGACACAAATAACTACACATTAGAATATATAAATTGATGATGTTTGTGTTATTAAAAACATTGATAATGTAGATGGAATTGTTTTGAGAAAGGTCAAACCAAATACAACCAATTTATACATAAAAAAACATGACCAATGATCAAACAAAGTAGTTTCCTCTCTCCCTATATCCATAAGTATGCTTAAATCTAAACATACTTGGATGCAGATTATTTTAATAGAAAGGGTGATTGCAGACAAATTTTTATACAAGTATAAACCTTTTCTCTGTCTCTATATTCCTATATATACTTAAATATTTAAAACAATGCAATGGTTGTTGATGCCTTTTTAACAGATAGAGTAATTAAAGGGGAAGGTTTTGATAAGAAAAATATCTGTACAAAGCGGGAGTAGGTAACTAGTACTATAATAAGATTAAAAATAAAATATGTAGTATGTCTTGTTCACTGAGATATGTAGTTACTTGTCTAATGTGTGTATGTAAAGTTATCATTATTGTTATATATACAATCCTACATAATATGTATCATACATGTTGCAAGGGTCATGAGTAGCTTGAAAAATGACGACTTTACATTCAATGTGATGTAGCAGCCATTAACAAGGGTATATTGAGCTAGAATTCTAGATTGACATCACAACAGACACTATGATCTTGCGTATCCAAATGAACAACTATTTTTTAATAGAAAACTGTCACAGCCCATTCTCTTAAAACACCAATACTATGCAATTGATATTGTGTCCATTACATATATGTGGATGATGAAATAGGTTTCTAGAAAGCCTTTATCTAAAGGAAACTTTGAGATCTACTTAATACATTAAACAATCACTTAAAGTTGCTGCAACGTAATATCAACATTTTGACCCATTTTACTATAGAAAGCTTTGAAGGCTAAAGTGACATAAAGCTGTCAATTTAGAATTGGAATATTATCTGCATCGCTGAAGCCACCTACCTGTAAATACACGGCGCTGACATATGGAGCGGCCCATTCCGCCAGGCTAGGTCTTTATAGGCTTGATCCCTAGCCTCGGGCGTCATGTAGTCGGCCCGGTCAAGTGAACGAAATACCCGCTCCACGGATCGCGTGCGGATGTAGTTGCTGCCCATTAAGTTGTCAATCAGCTCATTATTATCACGCCCTGAGCTCACTGCACCACCCATCTTGTTTGTTTTGCTGCACTGTCTTCTTCAACCCTCCCTCCACACACCGCCTCAGCTGATTGGAATTGTGACGTCACAATTGTTTTTCAACATATTTTGGGACCAGCCTTTTCAATCTGTGATTTTAATAAACCACAATTTAACGCAATCAATCCGTAATCTTAATTCCATAAACAGAGGCAAAATTATATCAATCACAAAAATGTTTCACACAATAATCGGTTCACACAGGCGAAATCTTGACATTTGTTTTCCTTGTGCAAATTTATTGACTTTATTACGATCACACAAAGAACAACCAATCGAATGGCATAAAAGACAATCCCTAAATGTCATAGAGAACATAGATAAGATTTGTTTATAAACAATTGAAATCAATTTGTATGTTTTACTTTATTAATATGATTAAACAACATTTACATTATTTCCACCGCTTAAAGTTTATACAGTTCATGAGATTATAAATATAAAAACGTTTTATAGCCACGTAGTCAATTTATAAAATTTTGCCAGTAGGTAATCTGACAGTTGTCTTTAGTCTATGACCAAAAAATGACAGATCATCAAACCACGGGATTGGGGATGTGATTTATTTATTTTTATAATTTTCTGTGTGAAAACGCTGGGTATTTGTTCAAATTTAACAGTGGCAGGTGATTTAATTACTAAATCTTCTAATGAGATGTCCCTAGATTAATTTAGAGAAAAGCCTATGAAGTTTTGTCGTGTCACACTGGGACGTCATTGGAGTGATAAGGTTTTATTGTTGAATATTTATGTGTAATTGACGTGATCAGTATTGTGAAGTGTTTTTTTGGACAGAGCGATGGCCGAGACGAGTGAAGCGCGAGCTAGCGCATCGGCGCCGGGCGGTGACGCTGGTGGAGAAGATGACAAACATGATGAGCGTATGTTAGAGTGTAACATCTGCTTGGACACGGCCCGCGACGCCGTCGTCAGTATGTGTGGGCACCTGTTCTGGTACGACACCTTCGCAATTCATACATTCCAGAAACATAATAAAAAGAAATGTATGTTAATGTATTCCAAAAAGTAAACTGAATATGTATCGCGTTCATTCACTTGATAGTGTTAAAGTTAAGGTAATTCACCTCGTTTTAGAATATCAAGACTGATGCTAATTTGTATAAAATCCAAACTTAATAAATGTTTAAATAGTCAGGAAGTGTTTGTTCATGTTGGCAAATCATTGTTGTTTACAATTTTCTCAATGTATCTGTTATTATCTCCTGTATCTATAAACCAGTAGGAAAACAATAAGAAACTAATAAGTATTGTTTCTACTGAATAGTAGTTTTGTAATTAAAAATATATAAATAATAATGAGACATATGGTCAATACTGGTCCATTACTGATGCTTGAAATTCAAGGTAACAAAACAATGCTACATTAATTTGGTATACATTTTTAACTCATTTTAACTTGCAAATTTACTAGTATTCCTTAAAAATATATGAAACCTTTTCATATTATGCAATGCACTTGCACTTTACATAGTTGTCTGTGATTCAATAAAATCTAATGAACACAGTACATACCTGTCACTAAAATAAACAAAAGTGATGTAATTTATGAATTAAGATGGACAAGACATTTGTCTGATCTAGCATGTCTGTGGACAGCTTGATAATGATCTTTTTATTAACAATCAAATATAAGAGATTGTAAAACTTCATTAGTTCTTCAGAAGACACCAATTAGGAGAATGCATCATTATTTCTAAAAGACCAAGAACTACAGTAAAATATATTTTCGACATCCTTTTTCTCTTTACCTTAATTTTATTTTTTCAAGAGCAAAGTCATATTATTTTTTTCATTGATTCCAGCTGGCCATGTTTGCACCAGTGGCTAGAGACACGTCCAAGTAGGCAAGTCTGCCCAGTGTGCAAAGCGGCTATCAGCAGAGACAAAGTTATCCCACTGTATGGCAGGGGCAACACTAAACAGGAGGACCCAAGGAATAAGGTATGCAATCATTTACTAAATAAAATAATACAAGGGCTCATGTTGCTATACCTAACTATACTTATTTATTTACATAAGGAAAAAAATGAAGTAACCCATCAAAAAACTTGTGCAATCAATGAATCTGCACATGGTAAAAAATCTATGACTAAACCTCTTACAACAATACCCTTTGATTCACACATGGTGTCAAATAAAGGGTATTGTTGTAAGATTCCAACTTAAGCAAAACAAATAATAAAACTTAATGGAAATTATATCTGTATACAGCATATTCAATAGGTGGTCTTACCTCTAAAAACAATATGCTATAGACAACCTTAGTGGATTATGCCTCTACTAGCATTTTATTTATTCTTTTCAATCGTATGTTGTAGGTACCACCGAGGCCCGCGGGACAGCGTACGGAACCTGAGAATACTAGTGGCTTTCCTGGGTTCGGGTTTGGCGAGGGCTTCCATATGTCTTTCGGCATAGGCGCCTTTCCGTTTGGGGTGTTTACATCCACATTCAATTTTGGAGATCCAAGACCCAGTGCTGGTAAGTCATGGAAAGAGCTTTTCGTGTGTTCATTTCCACCGTCAATAAGCAAGTAATCGAATAATATTGTCTTTGCAGCACCCCGCGGCACTGCCCAGTACGACGAAGAACAGTTCTTATCTAAGATATTCCTGTGGGTGGCCATCTTATTTGTATTGTGGCTAATATTCGCATGACCGCCGGAAATGAGTCCGCCGCCCACGGGCCGCGTCCTGCATCCTCACTGACTTGCCTCTGACATCAGTGTGCGCTTCGGTATGTTTACACTTTGGTCGCGATCTTTACCAAATTCTCCCCATTTCCTTTAATAGTTTTTATAATAAATTGCTAGTGGTCTATTTGCCTATTGAAAGGTGCAACTCTAGATTAAAGTGTTGTGATGGGGTTTTGGTTAAAGTAGGCAACATGGTAACTTGTAACTTCAGTGACACAATGGATACAACCTTAGTAGTTAATTCTTTTTTCATCATCTTAGCTACCAATCTGGGGCACATATAGGCCTTTCTTAATGATTTTATTTAACTAATTTTTTTGGTAATAAAGACGATATAATTCGTTAAAGGCCTTCACGCAGGTGCTAAGTTATTGCATATAGGCTGTAGGTAGGCAGGCATGTTACAGTTGACATACTGCACCTTACTGCTAACAATGTGCCACAAATTTATTTGTCCCAACATGTTTGTGAAAATACTTTAGGGAAAATTGGTAAATTAATTTTATTTTTTCCATTTAAAACCAGAAAAACAACAATCACAACTGCTGATTTTCTCTTTCACGACGAAGCATTCAAATTAAAAAAAAAATCCTAAATTAATGGTAATGGATGCAAGCAATGTGCTATCTACCACTGTAATTGATACTAACTTACTACTCCTCTTTTTCTTTGCTGATATTGATGAAAACTTTAGTGGTGTGGAAGAGAATCAAGTCCTGTGCTTCATCCGTAGAGATATAATTATATACCTTAAATAACACTTCAATTTATCCAACTGCTATTGTGTGAAATTATATTGGGACTAGGTAATGATTTGTTGTGTTGCTCAAAACATCAAATATTGGAAGGTTCCTACATAGTTTTAAATGATGGTACAACGTATTTTGTGTCTTACCTACCATAAAACAATCAATTTTAAAATATATGAATATTTAATTTATTATTATTTATTGAACTCTCCAGAAATTAAGTAATTTAAAAAAAGAAATATTTTATGAATTTAATTTTCTGACTTGAAATATTTTTGTGTCCTGAAAGATACTTTAAATTATGAGAGAAAATATTTTTAGGCTGCAAAGAGGGTAGTCGTCTTTATAAGCCATGAAGATTGCAAAGGTAGCAAACACCTTAAACCACTGGTTTGTTAACTGTGCAAGTTTATATATTTTAAATAATGAAAATACTAGAATATTTAAATGTAAATAAACTTATAGTTTCAAAACATCCTGTCTTTTGGGTGTCACTCGCACGTTTGTAGTTTTTAATGGATGGATCATAGGAACGAAGGGATAGGTGTTCCACCCTCATTTTACGTTAAATTAATTTATTTTTTAAACAGAGAAAATTGTGTCGCAAGTTACATAAAATAACTGAAGAAGTGTAAACATATCGTCTCACATTATGATTGTATACCTGCTACACTGCCCGCATGTTCGCAAGTCGGTCGCTATGAACAGTAAGTAGTCCGTTCCCTCGTCGTCAGTCGGATACTGGTCACTATAGAGCAACCGAGCTGCTTGCAGCCGCTTCGATACTCTTACTGCACTTATTATGACTACTTTACTGATTAACCTGGAATTGCCAAATATCGATATTTCTTATCGAGCAGTCATGCATACCAAATGTATGTAACAAGTTAATCACAAAATTATTGTTGACTAACCACACAGTAGGTTAGAACAGACCACAACCAATCATTCCCTTTGAGAAATACACTGGCTAAAGTTAGTAGAATTCATTAATTTATTTGAGGATCGATTCGTTATAGAGACTTTATGTGCACTTATAACAATAAAATTATCAATGTTGATGTAACTACTCGACGTTTAAATCACATGTATTGAAGTTATTTTAATTTGTATAAGATGGAGAGAATGTTGTGTTTACCTTCAGCAATAAGATGTCCTATTTTACTACAGTAAAGATAATAGAATGTTAGGCAATATTGATGGTTCCAAAACTTAACCTGTTTACTTCGTCGATGTCCAAGACATGCGATTGACAGATTGTCTAATTTTGTATAGTAATAGTGAGTGCTAAGAAAGCTACTTTGTATATAAACCCATGTTAATGTTGCAGGGGCCTTCACCTTTACTCGTTTCGCTAATAATAGGTTACTAAGGCTAGTCTCACAATATTTAGTGTTGTATACTCGTGTACAAAGAACACAGATGCCCTGAGGCTGCCTAAATGCAACGAAATGCTATGGCAGCACTCCAAAGAGGTCTGCGTTAGCTTAGTTTGTAATTTTATAAACACCTTGTTATAAAATATCGTTACAACTTGCCCTAGAAACCACCAAGGTCCTCACGGGCACCGGTTTTTGGGTACCTGGCGGTGAAATGTATAGTTTGTTCTCTTAAACCGGTACGTTTTAACGTACATCCGACACCGGCTACTCGACAACAGGAGCGTGTGAAAAGAGGGCCCACCATGGCGTTTTAAAGTGTGAATCTTTCGGGCGAGAAAGAGGGATGGAGCTATACACCTTTCATAGTTCCATCCCTCTTTCTCTCATCTCATCATGGTAGGCCTATAGGCACTAAGGAGCAGTGAAACACATGTTGCACAAGTTTTCCTTAGAAACAACATGGAGCAGAAACATTTATTGTCTGTGTATTTTGTACACTGCCTTGGTTACTTTCGTAGTATGACTGTTGATTGTACACAAAAAAGCAGGATATCGTTTAAAGAATTCAATTAAATTTTATTTTAATACAGAGGTGTGACTACATTTTTAATGGTAGTCGATTGCATAGGCGTTGTTGGTACTCGGAAAAGACGCAAGTTATATGAATTGGTAGTTTATGTTTAATATTCCTGTAATGATAAGTGTATATATAATAATTATATCAAACTAATTACGTTGTGATGGGAGGGTTTGTTTTTAATTGTAAATTTTAAAATAAAGATACATGATGCTGAACTGTGTTTTTATAACAAGAATTAAATCTGAAGTCGGTTGATGTTTTTATAACAAGAATTAAATCTGAAGTCGGTTGACTTTTTCACTAGTCAATAAAATTATCCGATTGTAAAAAAGCAAAAAATTTTTTGCAGACTAGTCAATTCTGCTAACAAATTGTTATGCGCTATTTTACAATTGGTGTTTCTTTTTTTGTCTTTTACCACAAGTTAGAAAGGAAAATAAAACAATGTATGTATAATTCATTCCCTTTATTCATAAAGAAATGATGTACTTCCGCAATTCGTCAGCTTCTCACAACTTCTGAATTAATAACCACTCATTTAAGAATATACTTACAATTATATTTATACACTAAAGTCTTACCTAATTATATTTGATTATGGGAAAATGTCTCAGTAGTGTTAATGAGTTACAATACTTATTGAACAAAAGTAGTCAAATAATATGTAAATTAAAAGTGGAAAAATCAACATCAAATTAATCTTAAGATACTGACCTAACAGGATACTGAAATCAAGGTATTCCTAAATAAGAAATAATGAACATATTAAATGTTTTACTCCAGGCATAAATTTGCACTTTCGAAAAAAAAATATTCAATTTAAAAAATATTTTTATATAAACTGCTCAGTGCTAAGTCGCCCCGCGAAAACAATGACTAAAGATATTACAGTAAAATTCGCCTAGCCTACTCTATCCCATAAAGTTTGAGCGTCCTATCCATGCTTGTAGACGCGATGTATTGCGCGTTCTTACCGAACCTAACGCCAGTGGCGGATGCCGTGTGATCATTGAACACCTTCAATTCCTGCCACTGTCTGCACAGGTATACCCTCACGTCTGTGCCAGCTATAGCGAGGTAAGTACCACTCTGGTCAAAGCATAGCTCCTTGATAGCATAACCTTCTTCTAATTGAATAGTTTTGAAGTTCTTGAGCTTTCTCAAGTCCCATAGCTTAACGCACGCGTCTTCAGCTGCTGTAGCAAGGTAATAACCGTTCTCCGAGAAGGAGATGGATGTCACAGGCCCCACGTGTCCAGGGAAGTTAGCCACATTGCTCTGCTCTTTCAAGTCCCAAATCTTGACTTGTGAGTTCTCTGTACCAGTACCGAAAATGAGACCGTCAGGGTGAAACTGCGCCGTCGTCAGGCTGACACCAGAGAAATCGCTGACCTTGGTAAGAAGCGTGCCAGTGCGGATGTCAGAAAAGGCCCAGTGCTGGTCAGTAGATGTTGACAGAACGTAGTCGCCGGTGGGGTGGAGGGACAAGCCAGTTACAGGACCATCGTGTGATCGCAGGATCACTGTCGTCTGAGACCTGGTAACAGTAAAAATGAATTGAAGATAGTAATTATATTAAAATACATAAAAATCACATCTTGTGATTAAAAAGAATGATACATGAAACAATTAACTTACGTCGGCACATTCCATACACGAATAGTGTGATCTGGTGAGGCAGTGATAACTGTGTCCTCATCTGGATGATAAATGACGCGTGTAACCTTCTTGGTGTGACCCTTGAGGATGGCTACAACTTGCTCAGTGTCTTTATTGAAGACAGTAGCATTCCTATCATTACCACCAGTCAGCAGTTTGCTGTGATCTGATGGGTTTATGTCCAAAGCTAAGATACCAGGCACACTGGCTGAGTGGAGACCCTGGGGAATAAAAGAAGTCACTATGAGGACATGCTTTATAAAGCACTAGTAAACTCTTAGCAAATCACGGGTATCAAAATTACAACACATTATAAATGGTGCAATGCTACTCACAGGATGTGATGCCAAAGTGAGGAAAGCTCGTATCTGGTCGGGTGCGAGCAGTCCCTCGGGCACGGTGCGGCCGCGGCGCTTGCGCTCCTGTGTGAGCGCGGTGGCACGCTCCTGCAGGCGCGACACCACCTCGCTGGACATCCCCACCGGGGCCGCGCCGCCACCACCCGCTGCGCCGGCTTCCGCCTATTATGAATCAACAATTATTAACACAACTTCCTAGATTTTATAGTTTGTGCACAAATACTATACTAAATAATTATAGGATTGTAAAGATTAGAGGTTTAATTCTTGATAAAAGAACTGACATTGTTTGATTCTACTATGGAATATGAAGAATCTCTCTTACTTGAACTTTGCCTTATAACAAGTTTTAAGTATACCTGGTGAGTTGGTTGCGGAGCTACAATTCCAGCTTGTGGTTTGAGTGTGGCAAGAGCTTCCCTCGCAGCTGTCACTTCCTTCGTTAGACGTGCAATAACACGGCATGCAGCATCGTGTTGGTAGAGAGCATGACTTAATTCCTAAATGAAGAAATAATAAAGCACATTTTAAATCGCAAAAATTATAGTACATGGATATTGAAAAAACAATATTGTACAAATTCATTTGATACAAGCTTATGACTGACCTGTCGAGCAGTTTGCAGCTGTTGGCGCTGTGTGAAGGCATGTAGCATGAGCGCATCCCATTCATCCTGCATACTCTTTAGGGTGGCGGGGATAGATGTGGCACTTGGAGGCTTTGGCTTCACAATTGGTGGAGCTACAGAACATACACAATGTAGTTAGTGTAGTTAAATGAAAAAGTCCACAAATCCGTAAAAGACTGACTGAAAGGTAGAGAAATTGAAAAAACATAAGTGTAATTGACCTTCTACTACATGTATTGATCAATCATTTCAAGCATCAACAAGAATTGTCCACAGGATACTTCAAATTAGACCCTTTTGTTAAAAAATTCTAGAATGCCCTCAAACGATTACCCATACCACACTTGCTTGTTAAGCCTCTTATTGATCAAACAACAAACAATACATAATACAGTTAATACAGATAATACAGTTGATCATCAGTTGAAGGTGTTCAAGCAAAACCCTAACACTGGTTATCTATCCAAGGCATTTCTGTTTAACTAAGTAGTTATACATGAGATATGGGTATATTCTACTATGTTGAAATATTTTTGTAGCAGAGACAAGTTAAAAAACAATAATAAAAGAGAACAGAATACACTGCTGGGTAAATTGTATAGTTATTTAAATTAATTATCAATGAAATTGGTGAATTGTAGCCAGAACACTCACTTTTAATTTCAATAAGATCTTCAACTCGCAATTCCTTTCCATTTATAGGGTCCACTCCGTTTTCTATTATATACTTTTCTATGACGCGCTTCTCAAACACGGCCCCCGACGACGGAGACACCACAGGTTGTTCAGGGACCTCATTTGATACTAAAAACATAAAATTAGGTTATGAACAACTAAGACATTGTTTATTCGCAATCAGGTGCAGCCTGAGTATTACACAAATAGTACTTTTCTTATTTCTAGTATGAAAGATAATTATAGAGAACTATTTCAAAAATTAGTATTCGGAATGATTTCGGCCACCGGCAGAGACAAATACGCGCCTTCGGAATAATGGTGTTTCAGATTGCATTGATAAAAATTATGTTCTTAAATTACTCACTTGCACAATACAGAGCCATTGTAGTAAATTATTTTTACTATATTGTCACAATCACTCTTTCAAACACATGAAAATAGGCTGACAAACAATTCACAAATTCCCAGCATAAAATGATAGAACACGAAACATAGAGTACATAGAATATAAAATACAACCATAGACTACATGACACATTTTAAAATAGGAATTTCATTGTCTGTAGAAATAAGCCCTAGGATGTGATAAAAAAAAGCGACGACCAAAATGTAATGAATAAAATGATGATTTGATTTGACTTCATTTTATTGAGTTATCAGAATTCAATGTCGTAAGATTTTTATAGATAAAATTGAACAACAAGTAAGTACCTCTGATTTATCTATAATTTATCATGGAGGAATTAAATATATACAAATATTTAATGTATAAACTAAGTACCTATAAACTTAAAAACAATGTCCCATGTTACTAAAAAGAAAATGAATGATGGAAACTTAACGAAAAGGAAAAAACTATCTTCCCCGAAATGAACATCCTTCTTTCCCGCAGGACCTATTACACGTACAAATTACAATCGCAGACTAAAGTAACAATAGGACAACAGACAGACGGAAATCGGAGTTTTGTTAATAAATTGTAAAATTACTTCTCCCGTAAGTATCAGGCTTTTACCACCACGTTCCCGGTTTCTTCTCTATCGAGCCGGGGCGGGGCCACGGTACATCATTGCGCTTGCACTCAACCGATAAATTATAAATTAATCAACTATCAGTTGAGGTTAGTATATCAGCCGATAGTAAAGGTTTGTACACTTTGGTTAAGGAACTGATCTATCATCCTAGCATCCTAAATGGGCGATATAACGTTTTGTTTGGTCATTACTTCTAATAGAATCTGGATCTCTCGATTTTTTCATGTTTATCTGTTGTATAAACATATTTTTTATAGTGTTTTTTTAATCAAACGAACAGAAGGTTTCTTGAAGTTTTGAAGCTCGTATCAGTTCGGGAGCACTGAGACCGGAAGATCGTCCCAAAGTTTTGCTGTGCGGGGCAAAAAGTTTCGCATAAATCGCACAATTGGTAACTGCCAACTGTCTATGTGATGGGGATGAAAATGTTTTCGAATGAACGAAGAACAATGGCGAAGAGATGCGGCGGTGGTCAAACCGACCAATACCCCAGAGCACTCCCCGTGATATATGCGATTGAGAACAGTACAGCGAGGCTACATCCCTAAAAGGGCAGTCAACTATTCGGACAGCTCGTCTTTGAATGCGGTCCAGAAGGAGAAGCTGGTACTGGGGTGTCCCCGCCCAAAGATCTGCACAGTATTCCATATGGGGCCGAACATGCGCCTTGTGAAGTAGCAGGCGATACACCGGGGTGAAATACTGCCTCGAACTATTGAGCACACCTAGCTTCTTCGAGGCTCACTTGGCGTTTTTTCTAGATGGAAACTATCCTAATAGTGACATTATCACTATTAGGATAGTTTCCGCGGTCATCTCGGTAAGCGCAATGAGGCACCGCGACCTCGGCCCAGAGCAGGAGAAGGAACAGGGGGGTTTTTAGTCAGTAAGAGTCTGACACTCCCTCCCGCCCGGCCCTGGCCGGGAGAAGTAATTTGATGATTTTATCCTCACAAAAAAAATGCGAAATTCGCAACTGCCATATACATAGGTATATATCTGAGGACGCCCGCAAAGATTAAACACCAATTGTTCACAAGGCACATATTATATTTATTTTTTCTGAACATGAAAAACTGAATGGTATCAGCCCGGCCGAAGTATTGTTAGCGTACATTATAATTCGTCCATCCATCTATAGTAAACGGCCAGTATAATTTGGTAGGTACCGCACGGTTTGTATACCGTGTACGTTTGCAAGATTCACTATGCGTACTTGACGTATAAAATACCGAATAATAACCATACCTACATAATACCATAATAATTACCTGACGATATTCCGACCAAATTCGGGAACTACGACTTAGGACGACAGTCATGTTTGTTGTGCTTGCTAAGCCACGCCCCGTTGAGTGGTATGTATATGATAGATATTATCATGAAGCAAACAGCCCGAGGGCATGGATTCTGCAATTCCGGAATTTCGTACGTAACTCCAGATTACATAAATAAAATTTTGGTAAATGCTACTTTCGCGACAAAATTGTTCCTTTGGCACAGTTTTTGTTTACTTTTTATTTTTGATATAGAGGTGCTCCCACACAGCAGTTATATAACATTAGAGACTGACTTTTTTAAACAAATTATAACAAAAGTTATAAATTGTTACAAATTATAATAAATTGTTATTGATGTTATACAACTTCATTTAACAAATTGTTTTACAACTGATTAGAATATGATATTACAAAATATAACTTTTGTTGTATAACATCATCAGAGCCTCAGCGGGACCTTCGCGGGCGGGGGGCCTTTACTTCCTTTTTTTTTTCAAACTAAAAATAAACGCAAAACCTATCAGCACTTCCTCCATTATTGGTTCACTACCACCTTCCTCGAAAGACAAACCCGAACTGATTGAACATAATGTTATACGATGTTATACGAGTTCAACTAATTTGGGAGCGTTTATAACATACAACATGTTGTAGAGTATTGTTACACGCTGTTATAAATGTCACAATGTTGTATAACGTTATATAACTGCTGTGTGGAAGCACCTTAATATGTTTTTAAATTGTATAGTCTTGTATTAATATTTTTGTTAGGTTTTGCAGATTCTTAAAATATTTCCGAAATTAGTAATGTAATATCCAAAGTCGGTTCGGGAATCGGATATCTTCGTATATAACAAGTCCCTTTAAAATCTCATTTTTCTTGAATCACCAGTAAATCGTCTTGATAGTGTGAGTAGTACCAAAATTATAAAAAAGCCAACTAAATATTTCTGTACATAGGAAAAAATACAGTATAGTTTCAAAGTTTTTATTAAATTACAGAGTAACAATAAAATATTTGGTGCCAAAGAAAATGGCACTATAATACTAACTAGTCGTCATTGTGTAAAAACTTACATCAATATCCATACACAGCGCTATGTACAAGCGTGGCGCTTTAGAAAATATTACAGCAGCCTAATCCTATAATATGTACATGGTCACAAATATAATATCCCTTGGAAACAGGGGGACAATAAACTTCGAGAAAAATAAAAAGTAACCCAAAATATTTTGATTCTCATTTTTCTTGAGTTTACACTTTGAATATAAATATTTTCCTCTATTGATGTAGCCCATAACAATTTTTTTAACTTGCCATTTTTAACAAAATTTTGTATTTGACTAACATCATTGCTATTAAAATATATTTTAGGTTCTTTCCTACTTTAAAAATTGGACAATAACCAATACATGATTATTAAAACAAAATAAATTCCATTCTGGTCTATAACTAATTTTATAAAAATAAACTAAAGAGATATTTCATAAATTAAGTAATATTTAACTACCACTTTGACTCTTGAAGATTGCCTATTGTAATGAACAAATTTTTTGAAGACAACAAAGTGAGAAAGTAAGTATAACATTAACACTACATTGCACAAAATATTATGTACATGGTCTTAATATTTACAAAATACAACAATGTATGCTTTAATAAAGACCTCAGACGTTCAATTATCTATCCAACAAAATTCTTAGATAACTACCTTCTAGATCATGAAAATGATGCTAAGTTTGAGAGCATTGAACTCCAGACATAGATAATGCATAAAACGGGTGGGGGTCGTAGTTTAGTCATAGTAACAAAGTAAATCTTACTATTCTATTTATTATTCATGCTATGAGAATCATACTTCATAAATAAAAAGGGGAAATAATATCGGACATCAATTGCAATAGATAAGTAGCAACAAAAACAGTCTATTTTAAAATTAAATGTGCATTGGTAGCCAGCTTTTCAAATTTTTTTACCCCATTTGTGTTTATAAAACACATTGATTTAGTTACTTTAATAAATATAGAATTTGGATTTCCAGTGTCAAAATGTTAAAGTTTTTATAAAAATCTTAAATAGTTTTTATTCAATTCACGACACTAAGATTGCATACAATCACAACCTCTGCAATTAAAGCCACATTTAAATTTTAGTGTTTTGTGCTAAAATACATATTATTAAATATTGCTTGATACAAACAATCAAATCATTAACAGCTTATGGTATATATTTCCTATTTTCATAATTTTGGTAATATCTGCTTATGATTGGCTGAGGAATTGTAATTTATAAATAATATTATAGTGTATAAACTAAACTCTTAAATATTACAACAGTCGCAACAAACACTAAGACCAAGCACTTGTATGAAATCTAATTTGGCCAATAAAGTCAGCAAGTTCATCTTGTCACAATAAAGCAAAATCTCATCATTTAAACACAATATTGGACACAGTTACTAATTCTGCAAGTGTGTAAATGAGCACAACATAATATTAACCAAACTTATAGTCCATTCCATCCTAGAAATTGTAAAAACTACAGCATCAATGTGACTACATAGAAATAAACTTTAGAATGCACAACAGTCTCATACGAAATAAAATGTTTCCGAGGGTCTTTTATATAACACAATGAGCACAAGTTAAACTTAGTAACAAAGAGCTGAGCACTCTACACTGTTAGTTTGATACATTTGGTATGGCACGTCACTAGAGGCACGCATCGCTTCATACGAGCATGAGGATGGCCCTAGCGATAGCGCGCGATCACGTATAGTTCTCGCGGAGCTGTCGTATGGCGCTGTAGATCTTGACGGCCGGCCCCAGGCGCAGGCGCACGCACTGCACCAGCTCGTCGCGCGACGCCATCACCAGCTCCGCGCCCGATAGCCGCGCTGCTGCCACCGCCGCGCCCGCCGCCTCGCCAGCTATCCGGCTCACCAGTGCCACCACGTCGCTCTGAAATAAATTTATTCAACGTTAACAAAGTTCAAATACTAAGGAACAAGGAATATGAAAAGTAATATTCATTTTTCATATGAGGTACATTTTTTTAAATAAACATAGATTTAAAAACGGTAAATATTTCCAGAAACGTATTTTTGAAATGCATTTAGGTCAAGATAAAATGGACAAATTACCTGTGTCCAAATGGTAGGATCATGCGGTAGCGCGAGCGCGGTAAGGTGCGCGGCGAGGTGCGTGGCGAGATGGTCGCGGAGCGGCGCGGGCGGCGGCGCGGGCGCCGAGAGATGTGCGCGGTGGGTGCGGTCGGCGTGGTCGGTGGCGCAGAGCGAGGCGCGCGAGTAGGTGCGCAGCGTGCGCGTGTCCGACCTGCCGCTGCGCCAGCGCTTGCCGCCGCCACTCGACAGCGAGTCGTCGTCCGAACCCTGGCGAGAAATTACGTCCTAATTACAAATAAGACATATACAACTATTCAAAGTTTTACCGTTCTATAAAAAAAGTCAGTCATCACAATAAATTCATATAATACATACCGGATCATTCTTAGAGACTTCTTCGATGCGCTTGTGTTTCGGCGGCCTTCCTCTTGGTCTATAAAAATAAAAGGATGTGTTTTTATATTTAAAATAAAACATAATAAGTTTTCCTATTTAAAATATGACCCTCACCTCTCTTTAGTATCGCTAGTGGGAGTACTCGTATGTATCGAGTTTGCCTTGGGCTGTTTGGTGAGCACTCTAAACAAGAAATTGACAATATTTATTGGGAGATACTCAAATCAATAATATATAGAATTAATAAATGTTTAAGTGTCACTCGCCAGTGTAAAATTAAGCATTGTATGCGTACCTGCGCTCCCTGGGCAGTGCGTGGTCAGCGTCCCGCTCGGCGAGGCGGTCGGGCGCGCGCGATGGCGGCTCGCGGTAGGGGCAGGCGGACGCCGCCGCGTGGTGCTTGTGCGCGCCGCCACGCACCGACCCGAGCCCGCGACACCCGCCCACGCCGCACGGACCCAAAATACGCAATTCTTCTGCAGCTGTAGTAAAGAAATATTATGTTTAATTATTTTTAACTAAGTAATGACAGCAAACACTATCTGCGAGAATTAAAGTTAATAAGTAAACATATCTAAAAAAACTAAAATAGTTGTTTATTTACTTACTGAGTGGCGGCTCTAGCGGATGTCCTGTCTTAAGACACCAACCAACTGGATGCAAATCTGGGGAATCATCATCGAACCAGCATGCTAATTCTTCTGGCCATCCATCAAAGGATACTTGCACTTGGTGACCTTTCACAGCAATTATTGTGGCCACACGGATGAGGAATGGCACCTGTCATCAAATTATAAGCCTCTCTGTTATATGATTGGCGCGGTGATATTATAGCATGAGTATTGGCAACTCAACAATGAGATTTATATCATGTACACTTAATTATAATTTTCTTACCCTTTTATCCACAACCTCTAGTTTCATGCCAGGCTTGAATCCCTGTGGCGGGCGAGGTTTGAAGGCTCGCGATGGCGCTGGAGATGCTCCCGTCTCCGCCAAATAGTTTTCCCATGAAAATGTGTCAGGATCTTTGTAAACTGTAAAAATTAATAAAATTGTTAGTTGATTTTTATGACGTTTTTTTCTAATGAGACCACTATTTTTTTAATAATTAATAATTATGATTGTTTCTTTTTAAAATCGTTTTCTACCCGCAATTTGGGGCAGATTACGAGGTACTGAACCTAAAACCTGAGTGTACCTTATTAATTAAAATAAATACATTTCGATTTTGATATAGATAGAGCATTTAAAGTAGCACCATTCAATAATAATTTTATTCATTAGTTCACCTACATTCTAGCATTTTGTATGTAGATATTTAAACTGTGCAGTGTGGGAATGCTGAGAAATGGATGACACTTGATTCCTAGGTAGGTCGAGGTGTTATTTGGTTTTCCTTTCTTCCTCTCTTAGTTTATTTTAAAAAATTGTATACCTATACAATATGTGGCTGTCCCATAGGACCTTTTAATAAAGCCTGTGGTTTCCAAATTCCAATAAGCACATATGCCACCAGTGCAAGTTTTATATTAATGTTGTGTGTTATTGAACCGCTTCAGAGGGTATAAGTCGTTGCGTCTTGTGTCGTATAACAACCATAACTATAATCACAGCCTGTTCTCCAAACAGGAAAATTGTACGAAAACATGAATTTCGGTCAAATATTATAAATGTAACATTATATTTCTAAACGCTTGAGTGTCTAAAGACGACATGTCCAGCCTTCAATGAATGTACTTTATCAACGACCTTATCAGACCAACAGATACCCATCTGTAACACTTGCCTTCAAATGGACAGAAGAAGAACAGTGATAAAAACATAAATAAATGACTACTCATAAAAGAAACGATAAAAAAAACTGCTACACGATTTCATACATGGAATCAAATATTAGAAAAGTGTGAACATAGTTAAAAAAATTAAGTAATATGACTTCAGCTGAGTTGTCAATAACATTTTATCAGTGGAATTTGGGCTACCTAATTTTACATCAAGATGTTGAGCGACGGTCGACGAGTAAATATGTGACTTTGATAAGAGCTATGCATTTCAATAAGAGCAGGCGGTGTTCAATGTAATGTAAATTAACTGTTAAGTGGTATATTGAAATAAGTATCTAGGTAAAACATAATATCAATGCTGCATAAAATAATAAAAACAAAGACAAAAATACTGGTTTCTGAGAACGAAATACATTGTTGTCATTAAATAAAGTGAATGTCATTTAATAATTTACAGAATTCAATTTTGAAACAGATAAACTAGTTCGTTAATCCGTGAAATTAGTTTAATTGCCACTAAATAAGAATAATAAAATAATAGGTCTATATGTGGAACGTCTAATATGACATGATAAACTTACTTGTTTTTCGAGTGCTACATAACGATATATTTGACATTTGTATGTTCGTAATTTAGTGGGACATGTAAGTTATGTCCGCGTTATACTCATAAGACAACAATGGGCACGACAGTCACACACAAACGGTTCGACATGACTAACTCGTGTAGTTTCAAGTAGATAACCGACGACGCAACCAAACTACCGGTTATCCTTGTTGCTCGCGACTATATGTTTGAATTTTTAATTAATACTTTTAAGAATTATGTCGGAATTAATTTGTGATGTGCAAATAAATATGACCTTTATTTAACTTATAATAAGATAAAACAGATAAGACTGATATTACGATTGAGATTGATATTTTTTATGCCTTATTTATTAATTGTGTATTGTATAAGCACAAATGTAATTTGTTACAGATTTTTTTTTGCAATATAATGTGGCACGTTTATTATTTGCTATTCATTTATTTACACTGCTAACAATTTATTTCAATATTAACAAAAATATATCTATACTAATATTATAAAGCTGTAGAGTTTGTTTGTTTGAAAGTCAATTCACATGCTTTTTGTGTTTGTTAGTCCATTTATCAAGGAAAGCTATACATATAAAGGCTTTAAACAAGAGCTACGATATGTAGGAACCAAGCAGCGAATGAAACCATGAGACAGTAGCTAGTTATTTACATAAGGAATTTAAAACTAACATTTTATATGTATACTCATAAAGGTGGACTAAATGCTAATACTATTCTCTATCAGTCTTTGGGTAATGTAGAGAATTGTGTTGTAGGTGGTAAACTAGAAAATAAGTCGGAGTGCAACATAAGCTAAACATATTTTTTTCTTTTGGATATAACAAAATATGTTCTGTCATATAAGAGTGGCATAGATAAATCATAATTAACTCAAGGGCCCTAGGTATTACTTTAGAATATCAGTAACACTGAATATATTGCCTATTTATCACTGATTATTATTTGAAACAGAATATAATGACAGCTAATTTCTTCAACTTGAGAATCCAACTTAGAATTGTTTGGAAATCACTTGGAAACCCTGTGACTGTTTGTTGATTGGAAATATATAGGCCTATATGTATTACAACACTGGCTCTACTACTTGTAGTCAAGTATTCCATAACTACAGAGGTCAAGTACTCACAATTAGGCGGCGTCAGAGGGATTCCGTTTTCTTCCGCCCATCCTACAGGGTGGATGTATGGCGAGGTCGGGTCCACCCAGAAGTCGTACATTTCATCCCAAGAGTCGAAATTAATCAGCATCCTATTGTCCAATATATCAGCGATGGACGCAACGCATACCAAGTCATTCTTGCGATCTTCAGCTTCCAACTTCATGCCCACACGGAAACAGTGCGGTTTGAACACCTATCCATACAAATATAAGAATTATAAGGAGTCTATACAAATATATAAACACTTAAATGGGTAAATTTTATAATCAGAGCGAAATCACTAAGAAACAACTAATTATTTAGTCAAAAATAATAATAAGAATATTAGAATATATTGTTAAAATAAATGCCAACTCACCGCAGCTGTTATATGTGGGAATAAGTTCCTAGGTGCGGCGACTGCTCTCAACTGTTTCAAATAGAGCGGCCACGAAAAGTTGGACGAAGATATTTTACCCGGTGGCTTCAGTGACCGGCCGTTCTTCTCACACCAGCCCGGGGGGAATATATCCACGGAGTCAGCATTCACCCAGTAGTCATACACATCTGGGAAATCGTCGAAGTGAAGTCGCATCCTGAATCCTTGCACTTCAGCAACAGAAACTACACAAAAAAGTGAAGGATGCTGAGGGTCTATTGCTTCTAACCGCATCCCAACTTTAAACCCATTTCTGGTGTAAGGGAATGGGTTTTTGAACAGCTTAACAGGTGCAGCTTTTGCTTTGCAAATATCGAGGTATCGCATCCAAGAGAAACCGTTCTTTCCGCACATCCAGGGATACTTCTCATTCTCTACTAAATCTTCACTGATTTTCAGTAATGCAGCCTCTGATAGCTGATCAGCTGGCATTGAATCATAATGCTTGAGTAATATTTTGTCTTCTTTACCTTCTGTAGGAATATCAGATTCTGACAATTGCTTCCTCATCAGCAACTTCTTTATCTTATTTTTCTTTTTTACCAAGTCAATGCGTTCTCTGTCTTTTTTCTTTTGTAAGGCTTTCTCTACCTCAGTTTGACATGCAGCACTACAGAAGGTGGGCGTAATGAACTCCGCCGCCATACCATGACAGCCGCAACACTCACAGCGAAACAAATCTTCAGGAGAGAGGGGTTTCTTATTACGCGGCTTTGTGGGAGTTTGGTATTTTGCGTGGTTACCCACTTCCTCCCGATCACTGCCATCTAGCAAGTCTATGAGCCCAAATTCATTGGTCTGAAACTGCAAGGTGCTGCCTTGTAGTCTAGCAACTCCATTATTCCAAATAAGACCTGGCGGGTCCTCTTCTAAAATGCCTTCTTTGATATCATTTTTACTGAAATCCTCCATTTTAGGATAGTATATTTCATGAGAACTTGCCTCATTGAGGGTGTCAGGCTTAGCTTCTTTAAAATCTTCACAATCTGAATCCAAATGTTTAGCCTCTAGATCTTTGTCTAATTTCTCATCACAGAATAAGGAGGGAACACGATGGTCATCATTATTTTCAGCCTCTGAGGGATCGTCAATTTTCTCGATTTTGGGTAATGGCAGTGGCAATGGCATTCTATTCCTGTTGGACAAGTTTTCTGTACATAGAGAAATGCGGCGCTTCATACTTGCGTTCGCGATCTTTCTGTCGCTATTGTCCGAGTTAGAACGCCGTAAAATCGCTGGTGCAGCTATACTAACTGTGCTCACTTCATGTCGTTCAACCATGTTTCTGTTCAGCAAACTCTTTCCTTTCTCTGGTATAGCTAAAGTGAACGATTTCTCCCTATGGCCACCATCATCATCCGCGATAGACACAGTGTAAATGTCATCATTCATTGCAGAATTAGTCTCAGGTATTGATAGTGTATATTCTCCCTGTTCACCTGTAGGTTCTGCCCTTGACCCAGGTATTGATAATGTAAAAGCTTTGTCGTTTTTGGGACTTTGGGGAACATCTTTGCCATTCATAATAACTTTACCGAGTGGTTGCAAAGGTGGCATATCTTGAGAATCTATAGCAGTGTCCCTCATAACTGTAATATTTCCTTGTGGATCATTTTGTATTTGCCCATTGGCTATTTGCAAATTAATAATAGGTCCTTTCGAAGCCATTGTTGCAGGTAATGTTACTGGTAAAATGAATTTGGTATTTTGAATTTTTGGCATGTTCATAGGAGTTATGAACAATTTTTGATTATTGGAATTTACATTAGACTGGTTATTAGATATGAGGATAGACTGATTCTCTGGTAAGTTCTTCTGGTTTGGTTTTTTCACAGAGCCGGAAAGATAAGCTATGGCTTGTTTAGGGTTGCTGGGTGCAATGCTTACAGGCACCATCATTTTGTCATTGTTGGACTTTGGTTTCTGTATCACTATTGGTTGACTAGCATTGACTGGAGCAAGGATGGACGACTTGTTTTGTGCACTTACTTTTGGTGCTATGTTGGGTTTGGTGTTTGCATTTGATATCAAATGTAAATTGGAATTGGTGGTTACCTGCAAGGAAAACGCCTCATGAAATAACCATCTGGTACACATTTAAAAAAGAAATAAACCTTTTTATTCATAATTTATACCTTTAAAATATTCAAAAGTCTAAACTATTGGATGTTACTTTATTTTTTATCTGCATGTTTATTATGTAACATTTAATTAATAATTACATTTCGATTGCTTATTACTGTAATCAATAATCTAATTTTCCAAAATTTAACAATACAATTTCAGTAAGGTACATATGGGTCTGAATAACCAAAAAAGGTTCTTGAAAATAAAATACCCAAAAACAAATACTAGTACATACAGACATACATAAATTAAGTTATTAAATGAAATAAAAATTATTATAAACAAAACACTGTATCTGTAACAATTATATTGAAAAGATGAATAGTTCATGTGGATGGTGACAGAGAGAGTCACAGAGGTCTGAGTCGGTCATGAAATTGTGAGTGACTGAGTTACATTAAATTTGTGCAACTCAAATAAATAATAAACATTTGTTTTTTTCTGCAAAAACTTTTGTTTCAATAGCTCTTCTTTACAATTTTAATGAGCAATGATAAATAGGCCTATCACCTGGTGAAATTGCATAGTTGAATTTTGGTTAGAAAGAAATAATTTAAAAGTAACTTGAAGAGAACTGTAAAAATTTGTGACTAAACCACCACCATTATGCTTGTTGCAGTGTGAGTGAAAGTGCATTCATTGAGAATTTTGTCACTAAATATTGTTAAGTTTTTTCATCTTTTAAATGATAATTAGTATGTTATATTTATTGATATACAAGTATTTGATTTGATAAGCCAATTAATAATCACAATAAACAGGTTTTTCACAAAAATACTTCATAACTGCTACTACAATTTTCTGAATTTCTAGAAATTTATTTGAAAGTTGAAACTGTTCCAATTGTTATATGAATGCCTGTTAATGGTGATGATTCACTTACTGGTCTCCTTACTATGATTTGTGGTGGGTTTCCACTTGTACTTGCTTGTGTGATGACATCGGTACTGGAAACAGGCTTCAGGCCTGTTTGTGTTTGTATGTAGACCACATGTGGTACATGTGGTACCTGCCTCGGTGTCCCTCTAATTTGGATAGAATTTGCTGCATTTTGCATTTGCAGCATAGCATTGTTATGTGCAACTTGCACTTGTTGAGGAAGGGGATTATTAACTTTAACTTGGGAAATTGTTGTTTCTGAGATCTGCAAGTGGGATGAACTTGGTGCAGTCATTTCAGAATTACAGTCCATATTAGTTGACCTTGGATTTGTTGAACCCATATGAACTTGAATAATTGAACTGTGGAGGGATTGGTTATGGTTTTGCAAGACTGGCATTGAAGGCAGTGTAGGTAATTGAATACTTGGATTGGCCGTTGGGATCTGCAGTGGAACATTTATAGTCTCACCAGCTGGTAACTGAACTGGGACACTGGTAGTTCCGGACACTTGAAGAGGAAGACTAACAGGTGCAATTTGTAATGGGACTGTGTTTGTGGGTCCTGATATTTGGACAGGGACATTAATATTAGAAGTAGATCCTGGAATCTGTACTGGCACATGCACAGTAGACAGTTGCAGAGGATATGGAGAATTATTTGGATGTAATTTGACAGGAGCAATTGAATGAGTAACTAAATTGTGTGTTATAGGTAAGGAGCTCTGTGAGGCTTGCATCGAAGACACAATCATGCTGCTCGAGATTGGCGCCTGAAAGACAAAATATTTATTTGTCAATGAATTTGTAAAAACACAATGATAAGTAGATTTTAACTTTTTCGGAACTCACGCGTAATGTATTTAGTAGTACATTCTGCTGCGGACTGTTTTGTGGTAAATTAGTGCTCACTGACGTGTTCGCTGATTTTAATAATCTCTTTTTTAAAATTTCCGTTTTAGGTTCGTCAAAGTTTTGAAGTGGATTACATTGCTGTCTCTCCATTTCTCAGTGTTGAGAATGCGAGCGAGTTCATTACAGAAACTCAGTTATCTTTTACAATCCATTAATGATGACCTGTAAAGCATTTAAAAATAAAATATCGCGAAATGAAATTCGTTCAAACGCACCACTCGCTTACATTGATGTTTGAGATTTGATAAAGTTTTTGTACTAAATAAAAAAATACCACGAAAACAGTATGATATACAATAACACTTATTAAATTAATAACAAATACATTACATATATTTTTCTTTTGCGAGTATCGCACTCTATCAGTATCAATTGTGCAGCTACTTTTACAGAACCACAACCTTCTACAAAAAGTTCATGAAACACTGGAATAGAAACTTAATACTTACATTCCTGTGTTTCAGCGCAGAGATAAGTTTTTCTTGTATCTTTTCAACTATTACAACATCGTTCTTGCGTTGAAAACCATTAAAGAAAAATAAAATTTATCCAATATAGCGACGATATTTACCTGCCTAGCACAACTGGTAATAAATCTGACAACATTGCCAAAATGTTCAAGACGTTCGTTACGTTGGTACTATCTAAATTTTGCACCAATCACGACTCGTGATTTTCGTGACGAAGCTTTCGCGCCCGATTATTCAGCTAAAAAAAGTCAACAGATAAGTTTATATTTATACAGTTAAGTATGCAAGGATATACAATGGTTTCGTTAAAATCTTAAGTCCATTATAAGTTTTAAAGTATATTTTTAGTGAATAAACATCACATCTAGTCTATCTTAAATTAGTTGCATGTTATTTTTAGTTTATCTTTGACATTGTTTTTGTTACTACGCCATCGTAATAGGTATATTTATGTATCTACGTACATAGGTTTCGTTTCTTGTCATAAACAACAAGTCAACGAAACCTATGTCTAGAGTCATAGAGCACATTTTCCAATGATTTATGAATATTATATTCTGCTATATTTAAATGGTCTTGTGTAAGAAATATTTATTTATATATTTTAAAATATGTTCAGTTTTATCTATTGTATTTTTTTCCTTTGAATATTGAATTTGTTTTCACCGGAAGCGGAAAATGTATAGATGCTGTTTATAATTTGTTACTGTACTCTTGTCAAAACAAAACATTTTGTTCAGGATTTCAGGATATTAATGAATATTAACCATCACCTTGATTCTGCGAGATCTATTAAAACTTTCTTATTTTATATGTTTGTAATATGAAGTAAATATCCACAGACATATTACCTATATAGAGTAGATCTTAGATCGAGGATATTATCATTCATTTAATTTTCATCCATTGCGTAATTAATTTTTAACCCGCACAGAAGATAAGGCTTACGCGTCTGTTTTAGTATTTTTCATAGGCATGGTGGAGTAACATTGTATTTTAAACTTAAAGTGTACTTATAAAACAATTACGTTCATTGCACAATTATTTTAAACTCTCTCGTAACTTGTGTAATGCGTGTTTTAACTCACAACTGATTCTTTATCAAGATTAATTTTATTACGATATAACTTTCGTTTCTCACTGAATTAAAAAAAGATCTGTAACATTGATCTTTTATTTTTTAAGTCAACGGTTTAAGTAATACCTTCCAATTGTCAAAAGACTTTGTTTCACTTCCAAGTGGATAAGTTACAAAATAAAAAAGAAATTGACAATTTTATCCCTGTCATAATATTGTCAAAAATATTTTTACTCTCAGGCTTTCGTAAATAAAAAAATATAATTATTTTTAAAAACAAAAACATTTTGAAAATAATTAATTTGTGTAATTTTATATAAACCACAACATTTAACATTATCGAAGGGCGTGGATTATCTTTAATGCGTATGTATAGATTTTTTACCTTTTATTATTAAAATATGGTTTCCTTAAGACTATTTTAGAAACGAAGTTAGCTTTTTATATTTTGGACATTAGATATGTTTTGAATAAACGTAGACGAGCAAGTTGATGGCGTTCTGTAAACTCTAACAATCCTGTAAGAGGTTTAAATCAATATGACTTCTAGATAATTCTTTGTATGTTTTGATTGTGTACACGTATCTTTAAGGATTAGGTAACGTTTTTGACCAGGAATAATTTATTAAGAAAACTTGATAGTTTACAATTTCTAGTGATTACATATTTTTGTTGTAAATTAAATAATGTGGCCATCAAGTTTTACTAAAATTCATATTGAAATGTTTCCAAGAAACTTGACAATTGAAGAATAAAATTATTTTTCTTCTTTTTATCTGATTATTTATTTAATGGAAGTGACTGTGCGTTAAAATCATTCAATCAGTACAATATAGTTTTGTAAATAATTAACTTATTCATGGCTAAACCATTATCTTATGATTTTTAGTTTCTTAAGTTCTATTAAAATTTGTTTATTAGCTAAAAATTATAATTTCAGTAATTATAGTAAAAATAGTATTTAGGCTATTTATTTGTACTAGTACTAACCAGTTTGTTTGACTATTTTATGAATTTGCAGAGCTTGATGAGATCCAGGGACAATGAGTAGCCAGCACCAGTATATGAGCGTGAACAACACACCAAGTGCACGCATCGGAGACATTGAACACATTAGTAAGATTTTAGTTCACTTACCACATATTTTTTTAGATTGTCTATTAATTTTAATATAATAATAATTGAAAGCATACATTTAATCATAACTTTATGCTTGTTTAATTAGAGTGCACATTACAATGTCACCCTCCCTCATTTCTAAACCATCTCAGTAACTAAAATTGTCATTATTTTTATTGGATTCACTTAAATGCATAATGTTTAAGTGATTTTGATAGCATTTATTTTAATTGTTTCCAGCCACTTTTAATACTTGGTATGTTTTGTTATGCACTGGGAATTTGGGTCAAATCTTATTAGACAACACAATTTAATTTTCACCATATCAGCAACAAAGAACATTAATTTTATTTATTTGTGGAAAGGTTGCTTGTTGCCAGTTTTTGCTACCTCTGCACTAAAATACATTAAATACCTATGGACCAAAAAGCCTTAAATACTAACTTATAGCTTTACTAACAAAACGTCAAGCCTACCAACATATTTCAATAATTGTTTTTGGCATTGGCAAATTGTATTTAAGCCTTAGTATTAAGTATTTGGTGTATCAATAATTGATAGACCAAAAATATGTATAATAAAGATTACGGACAATAAAATGTTGACAATGAATTTGATGAATAAATTCAGTTGTTGGTTTTTAAACTAAGTGGTTTCTAGTGATTTAAGTCAAAGCATCGAATATCCTACCAGTTTTAGATGAAATATCAGTCAAAAGAGCAAAAATAATCGGTCATTTCATAAAACAACCAATATCTGTGTGTTATATCGAATCAAATATAAAACTTCGTACAGGGTCGTCGTTAGTGATGACTGCAAACTGAGAGACAAGATTGTCACTCAGTTTCCGTTATACTCGTCATAACTATGAAAAGAAAATTAAGTGTAATTCATACATGTTTTAAGTTTAAAAAATATCTTTTAGAACACGCAAAATGTAACAGTTCTTTGCGTGTCATTTTGTATTCATAATGCCTTCCGCCCACGAATGATAGCATGCTAACTAAATTATCATGTAACTCACTGGAATATATATTTCGAATAATTTTGGGGTAAAAAAAAACATAGGTACTGTCGATTTCAAGTTCCATACTTAGGAAGTATTTAGTATAAGGTCTCTTCGAAACATGTTGCAATTAACACGGGACAGGTAGGCAGTACTTGCGAAAATGAGTTTGATACGTAATGCAATGATACCTAATTGTGTCGGTTGACGTAGTTGACATTTCGCAACGGCTTAAAAAACATGGTTACCTATTCCGAGTAGCAAGGCAATCAGTGGTTGCACAGTCAAGTCTAGGCATTATGTTGAACATATCGACAGCGGATGCGTGTGCCAATGCTTCCGGACAACGACGACCTGCGGTTAATCAAATAGAATTAGGGCGAAAGATAGACATTCAACGTGTTTATAATGGACTATTTTTAATAATAATATAACTTTTAATTGCATATAGCTGCTTCCGCTCAACTATCACTGGCTGCCTAAAATGTCCTCCTTATTACTAAAATTTGTGAACCCGAGAAGGCACACGTTTTTACTCTTCAATAGTGCCCTATTTTTCATACTACCCTATTTGTGTAGTACTGGTCATCCAATAAGGATTTCTATTGCACTTTGTGACCGTTAAACTCACGAAAAGGAACTTACGTTGTTACACATTGCTGAGTACTTTTTATTTATAACTCTCGGAAGGTATTAAATTCCTTGAACAACAGCAATTTTATATCGAAATTGATCAAACTGTGAACGATGATTTCTAAATTAATTTCAAGCTAATAAAATCTATTTGTGCAGGCCACCTGTCGGAACACATAGGGTCCCTGTGCCTGTCGTCCGAGTACTCAGATGTGACCCTCGTAGTGGAGGGGCAGCGGATCCCCGCCCACAAGGTCATCCTTGCCGCCAGCAGCGACTACTTTAGGGCGTTGCTGTATGGCGGCATGAGGGAGACCAACCAGGTATGTAACTCATCGTAAAGTCTATCTCCCTTTAAAGAGGGTGAAGAAAAAATTTATGTAAAGCGGTTCTATTACTTCCTAAGCTTCTAAAGGAGTTTACATCAAAAGCACATAAAAGTAATTTCTGCCGTTATACTTTTTATACCAGCCCATCGCACAGTTTATTTTACGGCTTAAACGGAGTGATAAACAAAAATTTAGAAAAATAGCGGGATTATGTATTTTCTTTCTGTGTTTATAGGCGGAAGTGGAACTGCAGGCGCCCCTCCAAGCTTTCAAGGCTCTTTTACGATATGTGTACTCAGGTACGTAGTCATGCACATAAAACGCATTTTATACATATTACATTATAATGTTATGTTAACGCAATTGTAATTAAAGCCATCTCCCCTTGATCGGTAGTTGCGCCTATGATCATCCAAAGGAACATTAAATGTTGATTGTTTTTTTTTGTCAGTTCATCGTAAGTGTTATGAATCATATAGATGGTTGCCTCTTAGTTAATATAACATTTTTAAATACAATTTTTTTTTATTATTCTAACTGTAGAATAGTTTAAGAGTCATACAAGGAATAATAGTAATAGGTACTTACTTACAAATGATGGTACAAATGATGGTGTAGGAAACAAATATGATCATACAATTTATAGTGTTCCCCCATTTTAGGTCACATGGGCTTGTCAATGCTGCGAGAAGACACAGTGCTTGATATGCTAGGCCTTGCACACCAGTTCAATTTCCAGGAGTTGGAGACTGCCATATCTGACTACTTGAGGCAGGTTCTCGCTCTCAGGAATGTTTGCTCCGTGCTTGATGCTGCCAGGTAAGGCATAATATTTGAATAATTATTTTCTTATTAATATTTCCCGCAGGTTAACATTCCGTAAAGAAATTGCATGATCTGATACTTGAGGCCGCAAATATTGGATAAAAATTTCTTTGTACTGCCTAAATTATAACTTTATGTAAGTAGCCTAATTTAATATAGGGGAACTAACTACCCTATACCGGACACTGGGCGCAAAATCAAACTTAGTATTGCTATTGGGTACAGACAACGTACTGACAATCTTATTGAAATCTTGTCTAGCCCAGTAAAAAAATTTAAGACTACAATTGCAACCTTCTCGTTTGATATATAATGTGGTTACTGTGTTTTTTTTTATATGGCTGCAAGCGAGCAGATGTTACACCCTGACACAGGGGTGTAACATCCCTGATGGTAAGCAATTAACGTTGCCAATGGACACCCGTAATCTCGGAGGAGTTGCGCCTGAAGCTCTTATTGGATTGAGATATATGACGATTGGAGGATTTGGGAATTGGAGATACAGTCTCTGTTAGTCTCACACACACGACGAAACATAACGCTGTGGTTGATTCAAGCAGGTGTTCTGTAAAGCCGTGGTAACAAAGAATGGCTCTCCTACACTTAGTTGTAACGCCTTTACAAAGAGTAATATAATCGTTGTTCCAGACTGTATGGGCTGAAGGCGCTCATGGACTACTGCTACAACTTCCTGGACAGAAACGCTATCGAAGTGTTACAGCATGATACCTTCCTGCAGTTGTCTGTTGTAAGTACAAAGTAAAAAAATAGGAATAGATGATTACGTAATTAGTTTCCAATAGTTTAAAGCTCTCGGTTGCGTAAATAACCTTTTGCCAAGTTGGTATTTAACCAGGTTTTCTTATGGGTATGGTATTTGTCTGATGTATTCAGACAGATTACCTGATTGTAAAGTAATCGGCGACGCCTATGGGCACCTGCCACACCAAAAAAGTTATAAGTGCGTTGCCGGCCTTTTGGAGATAAGGGTTTCGGATATATAAGGATTTTAAAGGGATGGGGAGAGGTGGAGGGATAAGGCCTCCGGTAACCCCACTCACACGGCGAAACACAACGACGACGCTGTGGTTTTTTCACGCCTGTTTCCTGTGAGGCCGTGGTATCACTCAAGTCAAGGCGACCCATTCGTACCGAAGCATGATGGCTCTCCCACAGTATCCAGATGTATCCACATTGAATTGCTAAACATTATCATAAGCCACGCGTCACTTTGTTTTAATTTTACTATTTCTTTTATACACAGGAAGCGCTACAGGGCCTCTTAGAACGTGATTCGTTCTTTGCGCCAGAAGTGGACATATTCAAGGCGGTCTGCAACTGGTTCAATGCTAACCAGCTGTGGGTCAAGTCGGAAGCTGGTCAGGCGCAGATCGTAAGTAACAAATATTTGTGTAGTAGCTGAAAAATAGTCTTTATTTTATTGAAAACTGTGGCAAATCATAATTTCCAGTACTGAGTGATATATGAGTACCCTATGGGTTAGTTTCCATTGCAAAAGACTAGGAGATGATAATAATTTCAGTGTCAGTCTCATATTTTCTTATATCTATTTTTTGGCTCATTATACTATACATTACTAGCTACTTTCTCGCGGTTTTACCCGCTGCTCGTCTCCTACAAATCGTATAGTGATGTTTTGTATGCCTATAGCCTTTATCGATAAATGGACTAACATTAAGAATTTAAGAATTATTAACACACAAAAATAATTGTTTTACTTGAACCAGCAGTTCCGTAGATTAGCGCGTTCAAACAAACAAACTCTTCAGCTTTATTATATTAGTATAGAATAGCGCTTTTTTTTCAATCTTTATTTAAAAGAGCTTATAGATTAGCGCTTGAATATTGGCTATAGCGCTGAAGGTAATACAAATGTAAACTTTACTTATTTTAGTAACGAATCGTTTTGTTAGGAAAAAATACTGAAATGCGTCCGCCTAACGTTGATGACACTGGAGGAGCTGCTGACGGTGGTACGGCCGTTCTCCCTGGTCACTCCCGACATGTTGCTGGACGCCATACAGGAGAAGACACAGACCAAGAGCACCGAGCTAAGGCACCGAGGCCTTCTTTGTAAGTACATATACACCACACCATAGAGGAATGGCAAGTGGAATGCACCAACATCCATCGAAACCCACAATAGCAAAGAGTAAATGGTGTGTTGCTTCTTTGGGGTTGGGGGAGGGGATAGTAAAATAGTAACCCCATTCACACAGCGAGAAATAATGCAAGGATTGTTTCATGCCGGTTTCCTCCAAGACTTGATGATTTTCAAGATTCAATAGTTTTTAGGTTCCAACTAATGTTATAGAAGAAACAGTCGTTTTACAATATTTAGTCCTGAACCTATGCGTTATTCCATACTGTAATTTATTTGTGTTCCAAATTTCAATATGATTGGTTCAGTAATTAAACTTCAAAGACCAACAAACATTTATAACATGTATAAGTAAGATAGACGTAGGATTTGCTGAATATCGGTCCTTGTCCCCCAGTACCGGAGGAGAACGTGGCGACGCCGAAGCGCGGCGCGCGCGTGATATCTGGCGACATGCGGTCGGCGCTGCTGGACGGCGACACCGACACGTACGACATGGAGCGCGGGTACACGCGACACACCATCAACGACGCGCCCGACAACCCCGGCATCATCGTGCGTCTCGCCACCTCCACCATCATCAACAACATACGCCTGCTGCTATGGGACAGGGACAATAGGTCACTATTGCACTTTTCTTTGTGTGTTTTTTTTTATTTCGGAATGGACATTTGTCCGTTATCACGCCTGGTGGTAAACGATACTGTGACCTACGATTATGGGTAGGCATGCTCCATGCGTACCCATAAGCAACCTATTCACTCGGGCTTTGAAGACACCCAGGTTCTATGGAACACAGTCTCCGGCAAAGAATTCTGCTAGATCGGCAAACAAACAAACGGATCACATGATGATAAGCAATCAGCTATTTTAATTTACAATTGGGAATTGGAAGATTGGGTCTCCGGTAACCTCACTAACACGGCGAAACATAAAGCTGTGATTTTACGCCAGTTTTCTGTGAGGATGTGATATCACTCCGGTCGAGCCGACTCATTCGTGCCGAAGCATGGCTCTGCCGCTCTTATATACATTTATGTCAGGTGGGCAAACGAAGCGACGGGTAACCCGATGATAAGCAATTAAAGCCGCCCATGAAACAATGTAAGTTGTCGACCTCTTGTGGGTTTTTAGGAATTTATGGGATAAGACATTCACTGAGGAGGAACTTTGACAAAAAAAAAACAAAACAAAGTTAAAACACAAACCCACTTTAAGAATAGCGCTATGAATGCACACTGACTGTACAGATGGCTAATGCGTAACTTGTAGAGGGTTCAATTCTCGTCCGGAATGGTTCATAGTGTAATCAACAATTTGTTGTTTCATTATTCAAATGTATCCTGAGCTTCTACTTTGTAGCAAATAATATGACTTGAGTTATAATTCAGTTTCGTTGAAGTTCAGGCTTAATATTTATTGTTATACAGATCATACGCGTACTACATAGAGGTGTCAGTGGACCAGAAGGACTGGGTGCGAGTGATCGACCACAGCAACTACTTCTGCCGCTCGTGGCAGAATCTGTACTTCGAGCCGCGCGTCGTGCAGTACATCAAACTCGTCGGCACTAGCAACACTGTTAACAAGGTACCATACACTCTCATTTTTTTATGTAATAGATCGGCAAACGAGCAGACGGATTACCTGATGGTAAGCAATCAGCGCCGCCCTTGGGCACCCGCAACGGAGGAGTTGCGAGTGCGTTGCTGACCTTTTAGGGATTAGGTATTTAGAGATTTAGGGATTGGGGGAGCTGTTTTTGTATTCGACACTAATCTTCTAAATAGGTCATAAAACAGCACTTTTCACACTGACAGAAAATGATTCGGCCAAAAGTCGTCGTGTGTCGATATCAAGTTCCTGTGACAATCTATTTTTCATAGAACTTCTCAAGAAGAAGGAGTCACGTCTATAATTAATCGTTGCAATAAAGAATAAAAAAAATATTTTGTTCACCTATTTTCTTCATCACATATATAAGGAACAACAGAAAACGGTGTCTTTTTAAAATGGCAAATAGTTGAATAATAAGTTAGGGTCCCTAAACAGTATTAGCCCATGACTAGCCTGCCTACATAGCATGACTACATAAATAGAAATTTCCCCGCTGGTGCAGGTGTTCCACGCGGTGGCGCTGGAGGCGCGCCACACGTGGCGCGTGCCCCCGCTGCGCGCCGGCCTCGTCGAGCCGCTGCACAACGTCGCCACCGTCGACCTCTCCGCCGTCGTCATCGAGGGGATCAGGTCACTACAACACTACTTTATCTACTATATTTATTCCACAACCTGTCTGATAGCATTTTTGTTTATCATTTATCAATGAACATAATAATATGTTAAGAACACAATCCCATAGGCGACTCGATGTGATGTTTTGTGTCTGTGGTGGTAGACTGACTAATGAACAACCATCGTATCACTTGTTAGCAAGAAGCCAGTATCGCCCGTGGACATTTGCAACACAAGTATGTTGCTGAAATTCAAATTCAAATGATGAGATTGAGATTAGGGAAATATATTAATTTATAAGTATTATGCCACATGACACAAAGGGGGTAGCGTTCTGTACTTTCTAACTATCTTTATGCACATAGAAAGTAATCAAATTAAAAATAAATGGCAGTAAAGACTAGACTAGACTAACAGATGTACATAAACCACAGTCGTTCCCGTAACGCCCTAATCAACGGTGACACGGAGAACTACGACTGGGACCAGGGCTACACGTGTCACCAGTTGGGCTCGGGCGCCATCGTGGTGCAGTTGGCGCAGCCCTACCTTCTGTCGTCCATACGCATGCTCCTGTGGGACTGCGACTACCGCCACTACTCCTACTACGTGGAGACTTCGCTTAACAACTGGGACTGGGAGATGGTCTGTGACCGCACCAGGGAATCTTGCAGGTAATTTTAAAATGTTTAATGTTCAGACCAAATCAATTAACTTTTTTGCTTTCTGATAATGTCGAAAAACCATTGCACACAATTTAGAATGTAATATCATCTAACTGGTGTCTCATGTAAGGATAACCTATCAATTTTGTTTAATAGTTTATTAATTTTATTGCTTTGTAATAAGGTCGGAAATCTATTGCACACAGTTGTGGATGTATTGGCGTCTGTACCAACAACGATTCCTTCCTTTTTTTGCAGGTCCTGGCAAGTGATATACTTCAAGCCCCGGCCTGTGTCTATCATTCGCATCGTTGGTACAAACAATTCTGTAAACGAGGTAATGTTCCTTTTTGTTTTGGTTTTGTATTTTTTTCCTATGTCGTGTATCTGTTTATAAACATACAATTACACATACTTATACATTACTTACATATTACAACCAAGTTGTGGATCACACAAAGTGTTGTTTCGTGTGAACATCCAACTCGCAACACATTGCTCAGCAGCCAGTTGCTTAGGGACAGTCTAATATATTCTACATTAAAGCAGTCTTTGACCTTGCGTCTTTGTAATAGAAACTTACAGTCGCGCAGCCAACACACCCGCGAACGTTACTACGAATAAAGACCCGAGCCTGACTTGAAACTGGTTGAGCTTTTCTCGTATAGTATGCATGAGTAAGTCGTATTGTGTATATAAGTTATTATAGAAAAACTTGTAACGTATGTGCAGGTGTTCCACCTGGTACACCTGGAGTGCCCGGCGCAGGTGGAGGACACGCGCGACGACCCGGCCGCCAAGAAGCAGCGCCCCGCCCACGACAACGCACTTAACCCCATCGGCAACGGTAACACGATCCTATCATAATTACTATTTGCGACTTTTACTTGTCTACAATAAAATTAAGACTGAATTCGAAATCAGTCGTCGGTTAGTAGTTAGTCGAGTGGTTGCAAACACAAATACCGTCGAGAGGTCTCGGGTTCGATTCCAGAGCCAGGGAAAGTATTATTGGGTATTTTCGCAGTAAATGAATGATTGACTTGGTTACCGCTGCCTAGCCCTGCCCTGCCCTGCTGGCATGTTGTGACATAAACGACAGTATAAAGTCGCATTGAAAGTGTGTCACGTAAAGTGGTGTTAAAGTATCGGTATCCCAGGCGGGCCTACAGGCGGCGCGACGGCGGGCGGGGCCGGGTCCCCCGCCACGTCGCGCGCCAGCAGCAGCTCGTCGGAGCGGTCGTGCCGCCGCGGCCTGCCGCCCGCCGAGACCGCCACCGAGGCCGAGGAGAGGTACGACCATTGACCGCCCCACCAGCCCCAAACCGCTCTACTACTTACATCTACAACGGAATCGACTCACTTGAACCCACTGTCATATCTGTCTACTTAGGTTCACGTAATAGGCGAATGTAAGTCGCCGTGATTTTTACATTTTTATCTGTATAAAATGATAATTCTCTTCATATTACTGTATGAATGTAGAATGTAGGCTGGGTTTTATACAGTTGCTCAACTCAGTTTTCTTCGTAATGACGGGCTAATGAGAAAAGGTGGATAATTATGTAGTGTTAGCGGGATTGTACCTATAGTACATATTATTATGTTGCATATCATGTTTATAAGCAAAAACACCAGAAAAGAAATTCATTTTTAAGTCAAGATATCAAACGTTGGCCTTTTAAAATTGTGTAATTTTATCCAATTGTATTTTTATTTTTCTTGACGGCTGACAAGCAATCTTACTTATCGATAATTTTATATATTCAACGAATTATTTAACTGAGCGAATAAAGTAAAATAGATGTTTTTTTATGATTTAACTTCGTATTCTCGTCGTAATTCGTATGAATTTAATCATCTTTGATACTGAAGTCGAAAGGAGATTTCGGATAGAGAAATTATTAATTTAAAATTAATCTGTAGTTGTAGAGAGATTAAACTTTGTATACTTACATAGGTTTTTTAAACATTGTGTGGATGATTATCTGAACAATAAAATTACTTAGATGATTCTAATGTTCTTAGAATTTTGTTAAATGTAAAGAATCAGGCTCTTTATGACTTCTTCTCGACGGTTCACAAAGTAACCTACTTATAGAGAGAGAGGCCTAAAGAGAAGATTTTTATAATGTTTTCGTCCTTAGTATTAGAGTTGCGTCAAATTAGACTGTAACTTGTTCAAATCTATAGATATTTCGTTGTGTCTGTTGCGATCTTATGTTTAGAGACATAGAATGCTATTTATTTGCTTTGGCATTGAAATGTTCGCAAAACAATTGAGATTTGATTATTTAGTATTTAAGCTTGTATACATATTTCTAGTCTTCTGGCAGAAACTTTAGTTGAGGTACACATAACATACCCACATCAAAATATTGTAAAAGATAATGTTTATAGTTTTGTGCTGCAAAGTTGTGAGGGTACAAAATCAAGATAGGTACTTACAGTGTTAATTTACGACTTCTTTGATTGCCCCCAACGTCCGAATATTCTTCAGTACATAGATTTTACACTGAAAAGAGTATTAGCTTTTTCTCCTTGTGCCTTGCGGCGTATACGCATTAAAATAGATATAGCGTTGACAACAAACTCGTTTAGCTTTGTTTCATAACATATAGCGCAGAGTTTATTTAGTTATTCTAAAGGCGTTGTGTTATTATTAGTGCCTTTTTTTACCTTGTTTGTATGACTGCCTTGGTCACAAATATGGTGTATTTTTTTGTTGATTCACATGATGATGATGGCACCATTTTCTATATTTTTTTACATTGCAAGTGGGACTATCAGTAGTAATTAGTTGGGCATGACACAAATGTCTTGTAGGTACATTAACTTTGTTTAACTAATAATTAGTAGTAAGTAATTGTATTAATACGGAATATCTTTTACTCCATATTTTAATAGATCTGACGATGTCGGAAGTTAAGTAACCTTGATTACCGTCATTACATTCTTAACAAAAATCCATTGTATACTTTCTAATATTTATTTTAAAGAAACTTACAAACAATTGGATTGAACTGTATAATGTTATTGTTTGGAATTTATTATGTTATTGTAGTATGTTGCTGATATTAGTGCAATTGTGTGTCAGTAGTGTTTTGGAATATGTGTCATATAATACTTACTGGCGGTTACTTTAATGTTTTGGTAACATAGTTATGGGGCATGAGCTGATTACACACGATTGCATCAATTGCTATAAATCGGTTCGGTATTTCGGATGTCGTAACTGGTTACTGGTTGTCTAACAAAATAGGGATGAGAAAATATTGAACTTTCTAAACTTGTGCAAGTTTTCTATGATTATTTTTGTAACACAGTCTGGCACTGATTTTCTTACACTTTGTGTACCTAAACATAGTTGCTATATTGGACAAATCTGTTCAATTGAACTATTAAATATGAACATCTAGTTTCCCTCCCTACTTTGGCAGACGCAGTAACTAAAGATTCACTGTGATAATGGTTTGAACCTATTGGTTTAAAGATTTTAGACTAAGGTGAATTGGTCTGCTAGCTGAGTAACACTTGAGTGATCGTAATTTTAAAGCAGAGACTATGGAGCTTATAATATGTTTAATAAAAAAATATTCAATACCATTTGGGTTTTATTATTTAAGGTTACAAACTATGCGATTTATTACTTATACTAAGCTATGTATTCATTTAAGGTTGTTTATAATAAAGTGAGACAAGTTTTATCACAGTACAGTTTATTATTTATATTAGAACTAAGTCACTTTAGACCCTCTTTCTTTAACAATAGCTCTTGACTGTCTGAGTACTTTGCTAGGATGTACAATGTTTGGATCAGTCTCCTCAGCCAGCTCATCTAATCTTCTTCTCAACAGATCCTTCAACTCCTGTATACCTGGCCCTCTTCTTAGTGCTGATATACCAATAATGTCATCAAAAGATATAACATTTTCTGGCCTCACATCTTCTGGCAGTGTATCAAGCAATGAATTCATATCTTTGTAGGCTTCTTTAATATTTCTTAGTACTTCATCAGTGCCAGGTAAATCCATTTTGTTTACAGCCAGTATTGCAGGCTTTTGAAGTAATTCACTATTATAAAGTTCTAACTCCTTATTTAGCAACAACACAGTCTCTAGGCATGACCTCTTTGGATGTTTTGGGCTGAGTTGGAACCCTTGTGCATCAGCAATAAACAGCAGAATCTTTGTTCTTTCCACATGTTTCAAAAAACTGTGTCCTAATCCCACATTAACATGGGCACCTTCAATGAGTCCAGGCAAGTCTGCTATAGAGATCTGTCTGAGGTCCTTGTAACTAATGATTCCTTTGTTGGGTTTTATTGTTGTGAAAGGATAGTTTGCAATTTTAGGTTGAGCTCTTGAAATTGCTTTCAACAGTGAACTCTTGCCAGCATTGGGAAATCCTACGAGTCCAATATCAGCAATTAATTTTAAGTCCAAACGTATGTGATGAACCTGTCCATGATGCCCCAAGAAATTTGATTCAGGCGTCCCTCCTGGCCCTCCCCTTGCTAAAATTACTGTTTCACCTTCTTTATCGATTGAACCTAAAACTTTTCCATCTTCTCTAAATACAGTTACGCCAAGAGGAACTTCAAGTTTTACGTCGGAGCCTGGATTACCAACTATTTTTGTTTTGCGACTATCTTCTCCATGTCCTGCACTAACTGTCTTGCCACGATGTTTGCTCATCACGGTTTTGAGGTTTGCATCTTCTTTTCCGATACAATAAACACAACCGCCCTGTCCTCCTAGGCCCCCAAATTTTGGTAGACCAGTCCCACCTGTGCCACCTTTGACATGAAGTCTGACGGAATCCAAGAATTTACTTCTAAGATAGCCTCGTGGTTTTTTCAACTCCCTCGCAGCGAACAACGTTCTAAAAATGAACACCATCTTTCAATAATAGTATTAAATAAATGCAATTTAAGGTTATGTTCCTGTTTTCGTTTCGAAATGTGACATATAAATTCCGTGTCACTGTATTTGACATAGGTACAAATAATTAATTTGTTAAGATAGTATTTTTAAACGTCTTATTTCGTTAAATGATATGTAGCAAGTTGAAAATAAATTATTTCAATATTAAAACAAGTTTATAAAACCAATCAAATTCCGAGCATTGTAATTTTTCAGTATGATTGTGTTTGTCAGAAACGGAGCGTTGTTGATGATTGATGTCATTATTTGACATAGACACTGACAGCATTTCGTAAACATTTCTTTGAATAGGAAGTCCTCCTATCATTTATTTATTAATTAATAACCGAACTTCGTTTATCAGTCGTACCTAGGTTCTAGCTTCTTATAACCTAAAGCTAAAACATCCGATGGAACCAAGTTGATTCCCTATTTGGATGACAATGCTTCAGTAAATTACAAATAAATTAGAAATATTACAGGCTAATTTTATAATGAACGTTTTTATTATCATAGCTATCGCATTATTTTTGTGTGAACGTTCATCTTTCGTATCATGTAGCATAGGGGACAGGTCCATGATATACAGGAACTGCTTGAATCGATTTGAAAGAGAAAACTGTACAGAAAGTAAGTATTCTCATGTTGGATCATGATATGATGCTGTCTCGAACAGTCCTTATTTTAATTGGCAGTTAATATGTAAAAGCCTGATAAATATGGAAGGAGAATAGGGTACAGTTGTAGATAGCCACTTCATGGAAATCCTCCAACCAAACAATTTAGAAGCTGTTGGAGGAGGTCTCTATTCACAAATATTAATAGGATGATACACTCTACCTTTAGGGATCTATGTTGTCACTTTTATTTATTATAGAAAGAAATGTCCTGAAAATAAATATATGAATAATGACTCTATATGTAGGTAAAAGTATTAAAAAGGGTACAATTTATAATAAAATTGATGCTGAAAATATTCACATACAATAATTAATTTGTAATGAATATTTTATTAATTTAACAATTGAAACGGGACATAAAATATTTTACAGATGGGGTATTATTTAAAAGCAATTCTCAATATAAACAGGACTACTGGAGTAAGGTATTACAGTGGTCTTGCAGTGATGAGTGTCGCTACCAATGTATGTGGATCACTGTGGATGTCTTCCACAACAACGGTGATGATACTCCCAAGTTTCATGGCAAGGTGAGCTATGTCAATATATTTGGGAGAAAAAAAATATAATTTTGAGAAATTATGTGATTAATTAATGTAATGTGTTACTTCATATTATAATAAAGTTGTATGAATATCCTTTTTGTTACCTTAGCTTCATAACCCATCTTGCAGGAAAAGTTATTTCTTAGACCATGGCATTTGTTGTTCTCTAGTAGATAAAATAAATGTTTAAAGAAATAAATATAAATTATAAACAAACTATTAAATTTTTTTTTAATAAATAGAGGAGTTATGAAAAAAAAATAATTTAGTAAGTTTTTTTCAGTGGCCTTTTATAAGGATGTTTGGTATGCAAGAACCAGCAGCAGCCTTTGCATCAATGTTGAACTTAGCAGCCAATGTATACATGTTCAAACAGTTGCAGCAGCTGCGCATCACTCAGGCTAATCTCTTTCCTTTTGTCATATTTTGGAAAATGTTTTCTTTGGTAAAAACTTTTTCTTTATTATGCCATATATACAATGTGCACTCACTTTCACCTGTTATATTATATGTACAAATCTCATGTACACATGAGAGTACACTGGCAATATACTCGGTATATTGCCATACACCGGGACAACTCGGGAATCGAACCCGTGACCCCTTGCTCGACATTCGGTCTTACGACTACTTGATCAATAGTAGCTTATATGTATTTTTCAGATAATTCCCGCAAAAGGAATCTTCAATAAACATTAATTCAGTTTTTAAAATCTCAATGTTTAAATCTCCTGGGTGACCCTGTAACTAGCCTACTAGACCCTAAAATGTCCCTAAAGTATCCTAAATAGATGTATAGAACTACGAGAAAACACAAGCATACAGGTAGTTGAGTTTATTTATTTCGCAGGTGTGCATGAATGCATGGGTGTGGTCTACGATATTCCACATGAGAGACACGGATTTCACTGAATTCATGGACTACGCGTGTGCACTTTCCATGGTCATGGGCCTGTTAGTGGCTGCGATCGTGAGGTGAGAGTCTTTAGATTGTTAAAGGATAGTTGCATGGATTGGCAGTTTAGGTAAACGTCGGAATATTAAGAGTGGATATGAGAAGATGGATAAAATTAAGTCCAGTACTAATTTTATGCATATCTATTTATTTATGTGTAAAGAATCGTGTTTGTTTCTTCCTTTTTCTTTCCCCTTTCATCCTGTTCTAGGACTCTGTGTCCTTGCTTCGCACCAACCGCAAGAATTCTCTGCACTGCCCTATGGTTGACTGTTAGAGAATGCCTTAAGGCATTAAGTCCGCCATTCACACTGTTTTGTATGAAGAAGAAATAAATAAATAAATAAATAAATAAATAATTTTGCCCCTTTTTATCGTTTGAAAATCTCCTAATGACTTTTCTAGATGGGGCACGATGGAGTTTCATACTTTACTGACTGAAAAGTTTTAGAAATTATTATTACTTTACTATACTATAACGATGTATACAGGGTGTTCTACACGAGGAGCAAGCTGTTGATGCTGCTGACGCTGTCGCTGCCGGTGTGCTACTTCGTCATGCACGTGCGGTACTTGTACTCCGGAGCTATAAACTATGACTACAATATGAAAGTCAATGTTTTCTTTGGTAAGTTTACCTACAAAAGCTATTTCACAATATGCAAGTAGGTTACTTGACAAAATTGTTCTATATATGCATACTTTGAATTGAGTGACGTTATGTGTGGTTACGGAAAAAATAAAATGACGTTCCAAAAATATTACAATAGGTGTAGGTACTAGCTTCCGTACGCGGCTCCGGTCGCATTAAATGTGATTAAAAAAGTAGCGTATGTGTTAATTCAGGGTATCGACATACCAAGTTTCAACCAAATCGGTCTAGCCGTTTTTGCGTTATAGAGTAACAAACATTAGTATATTCTTAAAACTTTCACATTTGTAATATAAGTAAGATTTTCTGTTTTACCTACAGATTTTGTAGGTAGGTTTAGCTCAAGTTTTAGTCCTATTATTTCAGTTTCAGTTTTTATTACCCAGGTGCATTTGGCTCAGTGATCTGGCTGGTGTTATCCTGGCACCAGTGGACATTACGGCGGCGGTACGCGTGGCGCATGCTGGCGTTCACGCTGCTGTCTGGCGCGGCTCTCAGTCTGGAGCTGTTTGACTTCCCGCCCAGACACGGTGTCTGGGACGCACACGCGCTCTGGCATTTAAGCACGGCGCCTTTACCGTTGTTGTTTTATAGGTACCTACTTTTATATTGTAATCGAGTCTTATATACTTAATAATGCATTAGTGTGATGCAGTGCATATTCTGAAACTCTCGAACGTGTTGCTTTTTTTTGCGCGTAAATGTAATTATAAGTTTAGACCTTGCACCCTCATAAAAAGCTTTTTTACTGAGTTCATATTAATATCTTTTACCTCCATCCGCCCCTAAGGGTGACCCTCTATTTGCCTCACGTAAGACACGGCATTGTGTTAAGTATTCTTTTTTCAGTTACGTGATAGCTGATCTACGGTACGTGGCATCCAAGGAATTGGACAAGTTCGCTTTCAAGTTGACGTGAGCGGAAGATACTGTTTTTAATAGCTTAGTAAGGTCCTATTTTTTGCATTTAAATAATAAATAAACATGTTAAATGTGTGTGTTTTTAGTAATTAAACCCTAACTTGGACTATGATTTACGATATACGATATGGACCTTGGACTCATCATCATCATCATCATATCAGCCACTGGACGTCCACTGCTGAACATAGGCCTCCCCCTTGACTTCCAGATAGGCCGGTTGGAAGCGACCTGCATCCAGCGGCTTCCTGCGACCTTAATCAGGTCGTCTGTCCACCTTGCGGGTGGACGTCCTACGCTGCGCTTGCCGGTACGTGGCCTCCACTCGAGAACCTTCCTGCCCCAGCGGCCGTCGGTTCTACGCGCTATGTGCCCTGCCCATTGCCACTTCAACTTACTAATCCGCTGGGCTATGTCGGAAATCTTTGTTCGTTTGCGGACATCCTCGTTTTTTATACGGTCTCGCAAAGAAACTCCGAGCATAGCCCTTTCTATAGCGCGCTGAGCGACCTTGAGCTTCTTTATAAGGCCCACAGTAAGAGACCACGTTTCAGTTCCATAGGTCATCGCTGGTAACACACATTGATTATAGACTTTCGTCTTAAGGCACTGAGGTAAGTTGGACGAGAAGATGTTGCGTAGTTTCCCGAACGCTGCCCATCCAAGTTGGATTCGACGATTGACCTCCTTCTCGAAATTGGACCTACCTAGCTGGATCACTTGTCCCAGGTATACATATTCGTCAACAATTTCGAGGTTAGAACTCCCAACTGATATCGGATAGGGCGTGACATGGGCGTTTGCCATGACTTTCGTCTTGTCCATGTTCATTCGGAGCCCTACCTGTTGAGAAACTCTACAGAGGTCATTGAGCATTGTGCTCAGATCCTCCAGCGATTCTGCCATGACTACAATGTCGTCGGCAAACCGGAGGTGAGTGATGTACTCGTTGCTTCTGATTTATCGATATGAAATGTATGTGAGTGGATTTTGTAATTTAAATTCTGGAGACGATATCGATAGAAAATTGTATGATGAGAAATCCCATCGTTTGCTTTCTGCATTTTTCTCACACATGAGTATGTTTGAGAAATGATAATGTATTATATATATTTTTAAGAGTAACGATAAAGTTTCTTGCTTGTTCTTCTCCATTCAAATCTACATTTTGGACTTTGACTTTGAAAACATGTTAAACGCGTGGCTTGATGTTTAGTCCAGTCATTTTAGGCATTTTATACCCCAATCTGGGGAAAAATTCCTAGTGAGCTGAATTTTTGTATACACTTTTGTTATGGCGTTATTATGAAGTTGTGAAAAATCGACATCGATATCGTGTCGGCAAAAAAAAAATACAGAGGTCAAAAGGTCACGAAAATCAGTTTTTTGCAAATATTTCGCGACCTATCTCTCGGACGTCAGTAGAGGTCTTATAAAAGTTGTTCCTCATAAAATTGTCTACGAAAAATGTCTCTTATAGTTTTTCTGTAAAATTAACGGTTTTCGGATCATAGCGCTGAGAAAGCGGCAAGAATGCACTCACATACGGTATTGTATACCGTACACCAAGGCGTAAACTCTATTGCTTTTTAGTAATGTATGTAAATGTCTCTAAATCTTTTATTTTACATTTAGATGTTTCCAGAAAGATATATTTAATAACGCTGTAATAAAGGTGTATACAAAAATTCAGCTCACTAGGAATTTTTCCCCAGATGAAACCTAAAATGACAGGACTAGTTACATAATATATTAACTAAAATTCGCGGGTTACTCACGTGTAAATGATGAGAAAAGCTCTACTAGTTTCGAACCACAGAGGGGTTCTTCCTCATGAGCAGCGTGCGCGGACGCGGCGACGTCGCGCAGCCTACTGGTTAGCGTTGGCGCCTGCATCGCTGTTGATGGTTGCGCTGCGGCGAGTCCAACGCGCCATCTGCCGGATACCACGCGCGTTTGCTGCCATCTCCGGCGGCGGCGCGTGTGACGATGTTGAGGCACACGGTACGTTCACCAGTGGCGCGGGTAGTGGGTTCGATTCCGGGCCCGGCACAAAGTCTGTGTTACATATGACGCTTACTGTGTCACACTCCAGACTGGATACGCTTCGGACCGACGTAGTCTCCAAGCTCGGCTTCCACGCGGGTGGCAATGCCCAGCCACCATCCCTGTTGAAGCACGGACGTCGGCTAATCTCGATGGCCTCTCGCACTTTTCGCGGAACGAAGTATTTCTCCCTCGCTAGTACGGAGACCTTATCAAAACGTATGAAGTGAGCCGCATCCGTGCCGCAAACATGTTCAGCCACAGCCGATGCCTGGATGTCCATCTTCTTCACGCTACGTATATGTTCCTTTAGCCTGGTTGTGATGTTGCGCCGAGTTTCTCCGATGTAACTTGAGCCACAGTCGCAAGGTATAATGTACACACCGGGCACAGCTAGTGGATCCTTATCCTTTGGCGAGCGTAGCAGTTGTCTCAGCTGACCGGGTGGGCGGAAGATCGTCCTGATGCTATATTTACGTTGCAGCAGGTGTCCGATTCTGTCGGTTACTCCTTTCACGTAGGGTAAGAACGCTGGAGTCCGCTCCGCAACTGCTGGTCGCTTCCTACTCGAGCTGCTCGCTAGTCGAGTACATTGACGCCAGTTGTATCCATTGTTCTCCAGTACCCTTTTTAAATGGTGAAATTCGTCGTCAATGTACTGTGGATCGCATAGACTCAGCGCCCGGTTTATCAAAGTCCGCGGGACAGCGGCTAGGTGGGAGGGATGATGATGTGAGTCAGCTCGTAAGTATCGGTCTGTGTGTGTCGGTTTTCGATACACTGTGTGTGACAATCGACCACTTTCTTCTCGTCTTACGAGGACATCCAAGAACGGCAACATCCCTTCTCTCTCTTCTTCAGTGGTGAATTGTATACTGCCGTGCACTGAGTTCAAGTGTCCCACAAATTCAGCTACATGTTCCCGGTTGATGATTGCGAATACGTCATCGACGTACCTCCACCAGTATCGCGGTCTCACCGGGGCGGATGCCAAGGCTTGGCCCTCAAACCACTCCATGAAGATGTTAGCCACCACTGGCGCCAGTGGCGACCCCATAGCCACTCCATCCACCTGCAGGTAGTATTCCCCTCTCCACAGGAAGTAACCTGTAGTGAGACAATGATTCACACACGCAATGTATCCAGTAGGTAAATCAGTATCCTTAAGTATGTTGGTGATAATTGAAGTTGCTTCTTCTACTGGTACATTTGTGAACAACGATGTTATGTCAAAACTCATCATCATCTCTGTGTCTTGGAGGTGAACATCGGCCAGTAAGGCGACGAAATGGCGAGAGTCCTTCACATAGGAGTCCGTTTTACCGGTAAATGGTTGCAGTATAGTAGCCAGATGACGCGACAGGTTGTAGGTAGGTGCGTCTATTTGACTGACTATAGGTCTTAGTGGCCAGTTTGGTTTGTGGATTTTGGGCAAACCGTATATTTTGGGTGGTGTTGGGTTTTGAGGGCGCAGACGTGCCACCAGTTCCTTGTCACTAAGGCGTACAATCGCACAGAGAGCATTGGACAAAGTATAAGTAAGGGGCAACATAATATATTGTTACGTGCCTGACGTCACGTTCCTAACTATGCGGGCTTGGGTTACGGGATTGGATGAAATTAAACACTAATACCGGTTTTCAGACTTTCTATTGCACTTAAGTGACAGCGTCCACGGATACGGATAAGTTATCGGCGTTCCTCTCCAGCAGAGTCCGGCCGACTGACACAACTTTGCCGTTCACTGTTCACGCTGACTTAACTCACTTAACTGACTGCACTTCACTATTTCACTGTACTTCACTATTTCACTCACTTTTCTTCTTTTCACTTCTTCCTTTTCTTCCGAATCGCTTTGGACTTAGAACTCAACTGCCAGCGGTGAGCCGCAGTTCCGCTTATATACCCCTGGTCAGGTTCTAGAACATTCAATTTCGTTATTCTTTTTGATCGTCATGCCTCCAGAACCTTCCAATAATTTCGTTATTCATTTTTATTTATTCTCCTTCTCGCTCCTTAATTTTTCATTACTTTCACTCAAATATTCCAGAAAGTTCGACAAAACTTCCATCAACTAAAAAACTTCATGTTTACGGCGGGACTCGAACTCGGGGTCTCTGTGGTGTAATCCACACGCCTTACCGATTACACCAACTCGTGTTGACAATTCACGACGAAATTTACAATCTCTAGGCAACGTTTGACAACCATCCATTGACGTCATGATGTCAAAGAGTTTTCTGTCACACTGCCCCCCTCTTAGATTCGCTCGTCCCGAGCATCGTTGCTGCCGTAATACCTCGCCAACCTGTCTATATGGACAACTTTCAAAGGGCTCCTTGAAGACTTCCGAATTCTGTAAGTAATGTCATTGATCTTCGTGACTATCTCGTAAGGACCTTCCCAACTCGGTTGCAGCTTTGGAGATTTTCCCTTCCTTCTGACTGGATTATGAAGCCAGACCAATGACCCCTCTTCAAACCCAACAGAATTGGCTCGTCGATCATAGCGCGTCTTTGCGCGATCACTAGCTTGAAGACCGGCCTCCCTGATCTGCTCATAAATGTCCAACATTTTTGCCCTTAACTCGCTTATGTAATCGCTAAACTCGGTGCGAGAGTCACCAGGTGGACAGCCCGATACAAGATCTGCCGGTAATCTCAATTCCCTTCCAAAATTTGCAAATGCAGGCGTCTTTGCGGTACTTTCATGTACAGCAGTCCGATAGGCAAGCAAGAAGAGAGGTATGTAAGTGTCCCAATCTCTCTGATGGCTGTCAACCACCTTTGCTAAGTGTCGCTCCAATGTTTGGTTGAAGCGTTCGACCATTCCATCTGACTGTGGATGATAAGGGGTCGTTCGAGTCTTATGGATTCCCAAAAGTTTACAAGTTTCCTGGAAAACTTGGGATTCAAAGTTCCGTCCTTGATCACTGTGCATCTCCAAGGGCACTCCGAATCGGGTGAATACCTCATTTACCAACTTCGTGGCTACAGTTACTGCCTCTTGATTCGGTATGGCAAAGACCT